GGGGGAAATCACTCAAAAGTAATACCAAATAGAAAAGTAATACCTCAGTTATTTCTAATAATACCTCTGGTATTACTTTTGATATTTCTATGAAAAAAGTAATACCGAAAAAAAGTAATATCCAAGTAATACCAAGTAATAATGATCAATAGAAGTAATACACCTGGTATTACTTTTGATTTGTACGGAAAGTAATACCAAGTAATACCATTTATGTAAAAGTAATACCTAAGAGTGATTTGCCCCTCGCATATTTCGTCTTTATTTAGTCATATTGTGCAAAGCATTATTGAGTATTCTCAAGTGCGTATGTTGTTCCATGCCAATATGTTTACTTCATCAGTCATCTCTACGGCTCAAAATATGCAACATTATCTAAAACGAATCACTGCTCAAGTCAGCATAAAAAATTGGATTTATAGTACAGCTTAATTTATCACGTTCTAACATACCATGCAAATCTCACTTCAATACACACATCCGAACCAAATGTAGTCAATGTGCATTACCGAATATGGAACAAGCTAGTGGAAAATAATTCAATCGACACCAAAAATGTCATTCGGATTCATTCCTTCCAAAAATGATAACTTCGTTAGTTGAATGCGGGCAATTCGACACTGCGCCTTCTTGAGAGTTCTCATATAAATGAGCCCAGAAGCGCCAACTGGTGCAAGAACATGTAATAGAACCGTTGTATACCAATAGTATTCAGACGCTTACACGTTGGGTATACTGTTATTGACTGTTTTGAATAGTAGTTCTTTCACATAAAAACATAAAAATCTGCTCGCATTACACTGATATCTCTCTTATTCCATTGATATTTTTTCCAAAAGAGAAAAAAAAATATTTCAAGCCTCAATTGCACAGCATATCACTATTAGAATCATTGTGTCGACATGAATCAATCAATAAACAAACCAAAACAAACACAAACCACACAATGAAATACCACGTTTGTATAAATATAGCAATCACTTGAAGAGAAAAACTCAAAAAAACATGTTTCAATAAAAAACAATATTCTAATATTTTAGAAAATATAAAATTAAATGAAATTTTTGTGTTTTCACGTGTTTTCATCAACATGAATAACTGCGACAAATGTCACTTCATGTTGTCATTGAAACAATCGGAACGTGGAACGTCAACAAATGAACTGACATTTGTTCGTAATTCTTAAGTTACTCTTGTGTTAACAAGATTAAATTCTTGCATTGAAAAAAAAAATATTCGCGCTTTTTAATAAAAATAAACTCAAAATATTTCTTGAGAACAGAAAACCGCTCAATAAGCAATTGACACATGTATATATTTGTATACAAGTCTTTGAATTTGACGTACGTTGTGCTTGTAGTACTTGTTCTTGCACCAGTTGGCGTTGACGTAAGAAGGCATAGCGTCGGGGCAATTTGAATATTACACCATACACTTGTGGTACAACTGGTTTTGTTGGTTGCATAGATGAGTAAATAGATTGTGTTCATGTAACACCCATAAACTTTATCTGATTATACGGATTTTGAGTTTCTGACACAACGTCTCTGCCCTTGAGCTTCTGAAACTGTTTTCTTTTACTATAAAACGATGGTGGGCACTGAAATTTTTTTTAAACATTTTTGTCGAATATTTTAATATTCTTATCAATTCGTTACTGAAACTAGGAAATGTAAAATATTTCTTTGTACATGGGAAATGTGCGAAATGCACTTACTGTTATCGAAAGTTATTCCAAGCGCCATATTTGCTGATGGTTGAATTATTCAAAGACATGGTGCAATCTACAAGTATGAAACATTTTTCCATGTTTACCTTCATAAAAATATCAAAACAAGATTTCCCTACATGTGTAAACGACGGTACAATTACATAAACCAAACCACATCAAATAGTCACAGTTGCTCTTCGACATTGTTCTTATGAAATCATATTTTTTGGGGGATTACATTATCTTTGTAGTGATAGTGCAGCTCTTATCGTTTAGTTCAGTTTATACTAATCGCAATTCAAATACGCTACGTTTTACAGAGCACATAAAAAGATGTAAATTTATCGTCGAAAGAACAAAACAACAGGCATGCATTTTTTTTGTCTATCTTTCTCCTTATTGTACTCTCTTCTCCACTATATTCGGTCTCATTCATACGTCTATACTTGTCAGCTATTTGCTATTGCATTTGACTCTGAACTCACTGATCGACAACAAAATTCATACAAACTATAAACATAAGCCACAAACATTTCGGCCGCTATACAGGAGAACAGTCATATAGAATTTTTTGAGCATATGTCGGGCCAGTGCACATTGAACTCTGGTATGGTGCGGACCGTCTGAACAAAGTTCGTTCACTGTTTGTTCGAGGAGAAACATTAACGATTGCTGTACGTGTGTGTATGTGTGTGTTATTTTTTTAAGTGCTGCATATAGATTACGTACTTTTGATTCTCATAGACAAAATGGAATACATATGAGTTGAGTAAAATAGTGAAATCAAAACAGTGTTTGGGTGAATAGAAATGGAATTGAAATTAAAATTTGTCGACCAATCAAAACAGATACAAACAATAATTTTATTGGCACATATTAACGACGGATGTGTCAGAATATGTAATGAGATTGTATTCATTCTATCAATGATAAACTGAGTTTGCACACGAACACAAATGTGTATTCATGTTTTGAGTCGGCTGTCCAATTTATTTGCTGATATATTTAATCGTGTGAACCGAGAAAATAACATCACATTCGTTAATGGACATTATGGCGTGATGGGATTGTTGAAGTGGAACATTTTCACTTTATATTTAGCCGTAGAATCAAAATCAATTTAGATGTTAAAAACATTGTTCACTCCATCAACGCAAAAACAATCAGTTGCAGCGATGATGGTCACATCTCACGACATCAACTTTGTAATGGGCTTCATCAAAGAGGAGGAAATGTTCTCATCATCAAATGCATCGATATCAACTACAGATACAACAAGGCCAATAGCCAATGTAAGCTAGAACAAACATTAACTACTTCTATCAAGACAGCATGAAAATATGTGAACACTCTTATTTGGAAAGTAGAAAACATATAAGTATATTGACCAAAATCTATTTCCAATCTGAACGCACAAATATAATGTCAATTTTGATCCAAACCGATTATAAAGTCCAAAAATAGATATGGATTAGACATTGTAAAAATATAGTGTTTTATCTAAAAAATTGACGACATTTTTGTCAGAAATGAGCCCACACACATCACAAAACCATCATAAATATTGAATTATTATTCAACAAGATTCATTTCAAACTGCCATAAAGATGAGATTCCGAGTTGTGTGTATTCAAATGGTATTCGACTTGTTAGTGTGATGGAATGTTCCGTATAATGGCAAACCTAACAAAACCATATAAAACCGTCAGCTTGAATGAACTTGTCCAATAAATTGACCCCTATGATTGTCAACTTAACTTCATGAAAGCAACGAACTGAATAGCAAATAAAAACGTTGATTAAATTATCGATTTGATGCGTCTATCAGCGACCAACAATCTCAATATTCGGATTGAGTTTTATGATTATTTGTCTCTTTCAATCTGGTTTGTTCTTTGTTGCAATTTAATCTCCTACACACATGGTATACTCTATATAGCCAATTTTCACTGCTTCCAAGTTTCGAACGCCTTCAGAACATATACTATCATAATCGAATAAAGCTAGGCGTTTATGTTCTGTTAGTTTTTGTATTTTAAATTCACTGCTGAAACGTTACCATTCAACAAACGTACACATTAGCAGTTTTCGTGAATGTTTAGTTACAAAAATGGATAAAAATATCAACTGTTGAAAAACGATGTGAATGTTTCACTTGTGAAGTTATTTTACGGGTGCTCATTCAAGCATGAGCAAATATACTTCTATGGCGATCTTAGAGCACCTGCTGTGCCGATAATAAATAATACAGTTTAGTTGGCTTTGTGTGCATCGATGACACGAATGAAATAGAAGCAGAAAACCACGTTGCTTGAAAAATATCGACTCACAATTTGCTTAAACCGCAAACCGTAACGTTCACAGACACACACCACGCATGTCCATTTGATTTGAATTGAACAAAAACGCATGCAAAATTGAAAACGCTAGTTCCACTAGCAAGCATGTACTTAGTACCGTGTTGCCTCAAGCAAACAATTGTTTCTCGTGCATTTTGATTATGCAAAAAAAAATCCATCTAATTTGATTACGTGCCCCGAATAAATACGAGAAAAGTTTTCAAACGAAATCATTCAACAATGTTTTTCACACTTTCTTTATTGGATGAATGAAACGAATAATTCAATTTTGTTTCGATTTCAAAATCAACACTGAAACGCACGAGAACAACGAATAGAAGAAAACATGAGTTTAGTGTGTAACCGTAACTGTCATGCTTTTTGCATGACCAAATTACGACGACAAAAGGTTATTTCAATAGAAACTTTATCAATAAAAAAAATTCTAATAGAAATTCCACAAAAATGCATATCGAGGCTGGAAGTATTGAAGCGACTTTGAACTTTCTGAATGTCACATGACTGTAATTAGGAATTTTATTGGTGGATTTGTTCGTTTCTTTTTTTTGTTTTCAAGTTCATTGCAAATATGGATCGAACGAAATTACTAAGAATCGTATCAATTATTTGCTGATGATAATAAGTTTTGATGGAGTCATTCATGAGTTAATAGGTCAATTCTGCGGTGCTATGACGTTACTTCATTGATTTAGTGTATCAGAAATTTAACTTGATAAAATATGCGAAACATAATTAATACATACTAAATAGGCAAAATTTTTCGAAGTACCATGTCGTCATGTAATACTGATTAATAGTCAAACGTGTTATTTTCAAGATTTAGACGTCAACATCAAAGTTTAAAATATGCTAACCGAAACTATCCGATAAAAATCTAAATTTTTCTGAAAAAATAATCTGTTTTCTTTGTTTTGTTTTTGTTTCTGTAGACTCGCACATTGCCAAATTCATCATCACCATTCCGACGTTGGGGTCAGTCATCTTTTCGGTCGCGTTCTAATGATCTTACACCAGCTAATTTAACAAATCATCGACCATCATCACTCGTGGCTTCAGAAAATGATGTTTATTCGAAGGTATGAAACCACGCGAAATAGACATGTTTATTCAAGAGCTTGTGAATAAACACGTATTTTTATTGTTACAGTCCGTAGATAATGACGACGATACATGTACATTGAAGAGCAAAGGCAGCGACAGAACGAGCACAATAAATATTGTCGCATCAAATCGCATCATTATAACCGTCGATTCCCCAAGTCATGGCGTCCAAGTATGGGGAAATTCGTTTGAAAAGTTATTAGAGGATGCCGCAGGCCTTCACACATTTGCTGAATTTCTCAAGAAAGAGTTCTCTGCCGAAAATATTTACTTCTGGACCGCCTGCGAACGATACAGAAAAATTACGGTTCATGCGGAGAGAACAAAAGAGGCTAACGCAATATTTTCAAAGCACTTGGCGACGGGTGCATCTGAGCCAGTCAATGTTGATTCAAAAGCACGATCTCTTGCGCAGGAGAGACTTAACTATGCCGAACCCGATCTGTTCATACCTGTATGTAATAATAATCAACTAAAATGATTGTTTTGTTCATGTTTGACAATTGCAATTAACATCGATTTTCATCCAAAAATTTTGTAATTCAGGCACAAAAGCAAATCTTCAATTTAATGAAGTTCGATAGTTACCAACGGTTCATAAGATCTGATCTATATAAAACGTGCTTAACAGCTGAACAACAAAAGCAGCCTCCACCATATCCAGGTAATCAACTAGATCCACAGCTACGTACGTCGGTAGAACTGTATGAGAAACATACAACAGTGACATCATCCAAATTGAAGAAATCCCTTAGCAATGCAGAGGACCGCAGACGAAAATCTTTATTACCTTGGCATAGAAAGACGCGATGTAAGTCAAAGGACCGGTCGAATGAAGAATTTCTACGGAATGAATCACTTAAAAATGCAGCAACCAATTCGCATTTGACAATAAATATAAATCAATCACAAAACGACATACATAGTTCGCGTAGCTCGTTGTCTAGTTTTGATGCTGTGATTTCATCACGAGCAAATGGTGCAGTTTCACCAGTTGGCTCGAGCGAAGATTCCCCGACGCGCAGCTCTCTGTGTCGTGTTATATTATCGGATGGAGCTACAACAATCGTACAAACCAGACATCATGAAAGTATTCGAACTCTAATCGATCGGCTGCTGGAGAAAAGGGGAATTCCCTACGAAGCATATGAAGGATTTGTGGCTGGAACAAATAAACCGATTGACCTGAACATGTCGAGTACATCAGTGGCCGGTTGGTAGAATATTTTCTTCGAAATAAAAGAGAAAACAAGTTTCTTCTACAGAATAATTTATACCATGTATTCCTCTATTTAAGGCAAAGAAGTGTTAATCGAACAACGTGTAGTATTTAAGTTGGATTTGCCAAACAAGAAAATTATTTCGGTGAAAAGTAAGCCATGCAAAATAATGAGTGAAGTCCTCAAACCAATTTTGCAAAAGTACAACTATCAATTGGATATGGTCACGGTGAGTGAACTGGATGAAATGAAGACTGAGTTTCAGCTTAATAACAATACACTTTTTTTGCTTTCCAAAGGTACAAACAAGAACAAGCTCTGAGCCATTATCATTGTCCGCTCCAGTTACGTCCGCCGATGGTCTTCGTTTACAAGTCGTATTTAATGACGACGGTGAGTGAATATTTTTTTCGAAAAATCATAATCGCGTCCATTCATTACATTGTAAATATATGCCAAATTATTCTATAAAAAGCAGAAAAACATTTCAAGTTAATATTTGTATAAAATTTAACATAAAATAGATGTTAATCCCAACGAGAATTCACTATGTCATTTAGATTTGTTCAACTAGTTGATTAAACTTATTGAATCGCAATAAATAATTGAAAAACTAAACTTTTTGGTGCTTTTTTTTTAACCCAAAATTCATTTTATTACGTGGTGGGTCTCTTTTCCTTGGGCTTTGTTTTTATTCGTTTCCAGTTCTTCATGGCTTTAACTCTATTTTTAGTTACATTTTATTAGAAATTATTTATCACAAAATTTTCCAATATTCCACTATAGCTAAGTTAATTAGAATTTAAGTCCAATACAAACAGGCAAACTGGTGAAAGTTGATAACTGTCAAAAAGATACCTAATTGTAACATGAATTTTATTATCAGAAATGATCTTATATCACCTGGCTAAAATGTTAATCAACTATTGGTTAAGTTGTGTTGACGCAGAAACATTTAGATGTATACACATGTCAGCTATCAGCGAGTTACATTTATCGAAAATCGTTTTCCGCTTACAGTTCAAACATCAGCGCAGGATTCACTTAATGAGATTACCAATAAAGTATTCAATGAATTAATGCAGTCAAAAAACGTGGACATTAGTCAAAGTTCCTCTTTACAAACAAGTCAACATCAAAATCATCATCGACCACCACTGCAACAACAGCAACAACAACAGCAACAGCAGCAGCAGCAGCAGCAACTACATAGTAATATTCCAAATCAACAGGATGAAATCAGTGGGCGATCAGATGATTGGTGCTCAGAAAGCAGTTCAGGGAATTTCGGCCCATTACGGCAACTTGCAGTCAAAGGTCGTTCTTTGGTTCCGGTCAGCAAGCAAAGAAAATTTTCGATAACACCATCCTCATCAAGTGTTTCGTTATTGACATCAACTAGCTCAAAAGATAACGCAAGCACATCATCAAAGACAATCACAGACACGAGCTGTTCGTTTCCTCTAATCAGTGGAACCTCCAGTGAATCGACTGATCTTAATAAGAAACCTCTCATTGCAAAATGGAAAACTGGAGTTCGATTGCAGAACGCAACATCCTCACCTTCAACACCAACGGACAGCAAAGGTAATTTAACAAAAATAAAAATTCATCAAAGTCTTTTGAATGAGTAACTTATGTTCAATTTTAAAATGCAGATCTTCTTGAGGGTTTGAAACGTGCTCAACGCTTTCGTTTGGAGGATCAACGTGGTACTGAAATCAACTTCGAACTACCTGATTTTCTGAAGGATAACAACCCGAGCAAGTGGAAAAACATACACACTTTTCCAACAGGAGGAATGGCTCCGGAGGATGTCATTGAAAATGAAACACACAAGAAACCGTCTGGAAAAGCACCTCAACCGGCACCAAGACTCCGAAATTCCCAAAATAATTGCATTGAAAGTAGTTCGTACTCTGAAAAAGTCAACGAAAACGAAGACAAGAAGCATATCCTGTACAGTTCATTTAGTCCAGGTATTATTATCTTTCAAACTATCAATCAAGTGTAAATGTATGCCTTTTTAACGACAAATATTGGTTTCCTTCCTTCTAAGGTTCTGAACAAAGTGATTCTTCACCACAAAAATACACTATCGGAATGCTACCTCCACCATTGCCTCCAAAGCCAAAAATAAAGCCATCTTCTTGGGTCGGCGATTCACAGAATCTCTTAGCACACGGTATACGAAACAATATCAAGGCGTCAGATCGAGTCAATAGCATGTTAAGTGCAACAATGACAGACAAAAAATTGCCACAGCCGCGAACAATTTATTTTGATCGGTTGAATAGTAGTTTTGTGTGAAATTGAAAACAAATTCTAACCAGAGTCTGAGTGAATATATAATTTCATAAGATTTTGTGATGAGAGCGAATTATTTAAAAAAAGGTTGTTCATTGTCGATTTAATCGACATATTTCTTCTCTTAAAATGAAATTCTTCGCCATTGTAGACGAATATATTTTACACTTGAATTTTCTATTTATTACAAAAAACCACAATAATTTTTATGCGAAACAAATAAAATTCCGATCATGGATTTCTATTCTTTGTTTGATTTTAATATAAATTTTATTTCTTAAATCGTTATGACAGATTAAATGTATCGTTTTCGGACTACGCTGTAGCTACGGGGGATGGTGATAGTGGCTTTGTGGCGCTACCTTCATTTTCCATTTGAACTGCTTCAATGGCTTGCTCTTGATCTTCTTGGTTTTGATTTGGTTCATCGAGAATTTCATCGGAATCTTCGACATTGATGACTCGATACGTTGTCGGCGAAGGCTGTTTGCTCTCATTCCACGGAGGAATAATTTTGGCATGCATTCGCCATTCACCGTACAAATTCGAAATATTCTTTTCGAAAACGACATACTCTAGAACGTCTTTTGCTAGAATCTCACTGCCGTGCATGAGACGGCCGAATCGATCGTATATCGCAAGCGATTGTTGTGTATGCATTCGAACGGTAATTTGAGCGAATATGTTCTCTTTTGAGATAAGATGTGTTTGACGCGCGTGCACAACTCGTGGCGGTTCAATCGATCCCAAAAATTTCCATCGAATAGTCACATTTTTTGTATTGTGTTTAATCTCTGGATATAGTCGCTCTGTCACATTTTCACGAATGGCTGATTCGTCGTTACCCATAAGAGCTTCATGAGTACGAATGTAAATATCTTGAGCAGTTTCACCAAAAGTTTTTGGAGAAAAATCTTCTTCATAGGCACGAATCTTGCGAACGGCCATCATTGATTTTGATTTTTTCTCTAAAAATTCATAAGTTTGCTTCGCACCGCCTGCTGTGAACTTTGATAATTTACCGTCACCCTCAGGTGGAACATAGGGCTCGAAGATGTTGCTTGTCTATGAAATCAGAAGAGAACAACCGCCTAGATCAATTCGAATCAACTGTATTCGTATAAATATATTTACCGCTGATAAAATGATTGGCCGTTCCGACCAAGGTCTTGCTGGCATAATACCTCGTTCTTTCATTTTCCGTTTCTTTTCGTCTTCTGATAATGCATGTTCATTTTCGTGGAAATTGGGCAGATCCACCTTTACAAATTTCTTTGCACGAAGCCATTTGAATTTGGGATTCCAATGTTTTGAGTGATTACGACTTGATTGATAATTCAACGGAAGATTCAGACATTGGTATAGGACACCGGTTTGAACCTTGAAATTCAGAAACAAATCGAATATTAAAATATATTACGGAAATTTCTTCGGTTCCAGACCGATAAACATAACCTAGAAGTCAATAAATATTCGTCTAATTTTGGATTATTAAAGAAATAACATGTTAAAATAATATTCAGGTGTACTTTAAAAACTTCAATTAAAAATATAAAAATTATTTACGAACCTTAAGTCCTGTGGAAACTCTTGTAAATAATGTAATTGCAGCCATCTCACATTATTTTGATCTTTTATTATCTATAGACTATTCAGCTGAGCAGATTGACTGAATTTCAGAATTAGTGGTCTTTTGACGTTACACAACGAACCGCAAGATTTACACAATTTTTTTTTATTCAAAGAAATAACAATTTATTTAGCACTCATATTTTATACTGAAAATTTAGAAAAAATTGAAATTTTCATGATTTCCGTATTTATTATTTCTAAATGCGATTCAATCAAGTAGTAAAACAATCAAAGCATTTAAAGTATGTTGTTTTTGGTATTGCCATATTAAAATGAACTGAACGGTAGGGAAATTAAAATGTCAAACCGCGTTGCATGCGCACAGACACACTGTATCGGTTCATTTTGTCATCCACAATGGAGGCCGATTCATTTGCGTTATCATTTGCATATTCATTGCAAGCATAGCACGACGTGTGTGTGTGACCAGTCTGTAAAAAATAAAAGGAGTCCAGACAAAGTTGTCTTTTCCTCAAATTTTTTGTGGAGCCGAACAAATTTTCGTATATTTTTCTGTAAGTTGGTCCGTAGAAATTGAATAAAATTTGAACAAATTGTTTACTTTGAAATTAATGTGAAGATTTATATATATATATGAAAATCCGCATGTTTTTGATACAATGTTTTTCTTCCTTTCGTTAAATTGGCTTTATTTCAATGTTTTTTTTCTGTGGATCTCTCATTTTAATCCAAAGTTTATTCGCACAATTGCGTACGATATACGCATCAATTTATCATGAAAAGCTCTCCAAATTGAAAAGTTAAAACTATGGTATAAAATAGTGAATGGACGTCCATCTTTCTTTTTCGATGGGCTGCCATTATGCACATTTTTCTTGCGCATCGGAGTCGCCATTGATTGATTCGTAGAGACGACATTTTTTTCATTTAAATGCCTTCCATCTTTAAATGACTTTCAATAAGAAATTTCAAAGGTTTCAACTGTAAATTGGTATTGTATAAAGTGAAACAATTAGTATCGTTACATACATACTCGTTGTGACGCAAACACCAATACCACAATCAATTTGGATCTTACTAATCTTGTTCCACATTTTGAATCCAATCCACAAATAAGTTTCGTGCTTAAAGCATTTGGCTTGATATGAGTGTGGATTTAATTTAAATGCGACCACCTACGACATTGACATAGAGACAGAGAGCGGAAAGAAAAAAAACTGTTGTACGAACACATCATAAAGTTTTAGCGCTTTGCCATTTCCCATTACTCTTTCTTTTAGAACTTTCCGTAATTTCTCTCGTTCAATTCATATTTCATTAATTTATTTATTTTAATTTTATTCATTGTGTTAATCTTTTCGGCGAATAGTGCGTGACTTTTACAACAACCAATAACCAGAGTGTGCGTGCTAATTAACAAACAGTATATTGGAGTTTTTATTTACGTTTTTATTTTAATTTGGGACAAAAGTTAAAAAGTAAGAAAACAATTTTTATTTTTTACATTTTTTTTGTCGATTAATGTTTTATTTTTGACCTTATTTCGAATATCCTTCATCGAAAATGCATCGTTTTGATAAACGGAGTAGGTCACATCATTGTTTTTAATTTAGTCGTAAATAAACAACCAGTTTAGCTTATAACATTTCCGTATGCGAATTATGGGAAAGTGCAAATAATTAAAGTTCTGTTTGAGTTAAAAGAAGTCGAATCGAGAATTTGTTTCCTCGTGACGCATATTCATATGCCGTCGATCAAACGAATGGGGTCAACCCGAGTCAATTTGAAATTGGTCGTCAATGTTTCGTAACACATTTTGATGGCCATTTTTCATTAATATGGTATCATAAGAAGTGATATTATTCATGAATCATCGCATATTTCGTACGGTTTTCTCAAAGAAATTGAGTGGCACTTACTTGAACGGGTTCATTTAATTTCGCATGCTTTTTGTGTAGAAAAATAAGGTTATGTTCATTTAAATGACACGCATATTCGGGGTTCGAAGAATGAGACCAAGAATCACAAAGTTCAAAGTGAAAATTAAAAAGTAACATTGCCTTGAAACGATTTTGTTCTAGTGCTTTCTCAAATGGTTGTGCGGGTTTCAATATGACGATTCGCCAGTACTGCTAATAGCCATTTTTGTTCTGTCAATTTTATCTTTTGATTGGCATGTGCTTCATTGGTATTGGAGGCACACATTCACATAAATATCGCTACCTTCGTCATTTCACACACGTTTTTTTTTCACAAAATCTTTTGTGTCGACATCTGATGACGCACAATGCGTTCAACTTGTTGAGACTGTGTGCGTGTGTACGTATCCAATATTTTTTGGTGTATTGTGTCATTGGCAAACGAACCGGTTCGCAATTTCACACCGATTCAAAATGCGGTGAGGCTACATTCAGCGCTACATAGGCAGTCGACCGATCGCAACACATTCAGTTCCAAATAGTTTTTGATGAGCTGTCGTGTGCTCATTTCTTTCCATTTTTTCATTCTACCATTTTTTTCACTGACTGAAAAATAACTGTACAGCTCGAAATAGTATTAAGTGAAACAAAGCTATTCCACACATTTTCATTAAAAATAGATATTTTGTGATTTTTATAATTATTTATTTGTAATAGAAGGGATTTAAAGTCCCAAAGGTAATTTTTTTCATGATTCCGCTGTTAAAGCGCAATTAAAATTCCGTGTGCCGTTGTAGATGTGAACCTCTCCAAACTGATTGACGTGATACTCAAACTGATTCACAAACTTTTTAGGTTATAAAATCGTCTAATTTATAAAGTCCCCATTTATAAAGCATTTGTTAATTTATTCTCGATTTTTTTTCATGTGATCCCTCGAATTCTGTTGAATATTTTAACATTTTTTTCGTTCTTCTGCGTTTGAATTCTTTTTTTTTTTATAATGAATTTATTGTTAAGATTTATCTATGAACGACTACACGTTTTAAGAATAACTTTGATGTGTTGCAACATTTTCGTCTAAATTGTCCCGTTATCTTTTTTCAGCAATTTATTGTATGAGTCAGAAAATCGAAAGACCAGTACTATCAGGTCAACGCATCAAGACCAGAAAAAGAGGTTAGTATTTTGTTTTTTTCTTCTAAATCGTTTAATTCGTTGTATACTCACAGTTGTTTTGTTCGGTTGAATTTTGTTATAGATGAAAAAGAGAAATACGACCCCACGGGATTCCGTGATGCGGTCATTGCTGGTCTTGAAAAGAGTGGCAATGATTTAGAATCTATATCAAAGTATTTGGACAGTGCTGGTAATAAACTGGATTACCGTCGCTACGGCGAGGTGTTGTTTGATATTTTGATTGCTGGGGGTCTCTTAGTACCTGGTGGTTCAATATCCCAAGATGGCGAAAAACCAAGTACTGAATATTGCATCTTCCGCGCATCTGAAGATATGGAAGCCATGCGCCAACAAGAGCAGGTGTTCATCAAGCTCATGCGCCGATATAAGTATCTGGAGAAGATGTTCGAGGAGGAAATGAAGAAAGTTTTGATCTTCATCAAGGGTTTTACTCCAAGTGAACGTACCAAACTGGCGCGCATGACTGCACTTTGGATTGGTGAGTAAAAAGACATTTTTATAATTATTTGAAACCACATAACCACCAATCCAGATTTTGCCTAATAATTCCTTTGGTGTTCATCAGGAATTGTTACTTCCTATTTCTGGATAAAACAATCACCATGAAAACAGTACTGACAATATTTCGAAGTTTAAATTTAAATATTGTTACACTGTTTTCAACATATTTAACATGTAAAGAACTTTATAATTCGATGTCAAAATTTTACATAAATGTTTACGTCGAAAATACTTGCCTCCAGTTTTTGCCTAATAATTCTGGAATAAATTAAGAATTATTACTTCCCATGAACTGGACAGAGAAAATAGACATTCAACAGGCCATAATCACCACTGTGGGATTATGGCTAGAAATTAATCTAACAATTAATATTTCTTCTTTAGATTAAATAAGTGTGACTAAAAATATAACGATTGTAATGACATATTTATCAACTTTGGTTCATTTTGATTTCCTTACAGCCAATGGCTCAGTCCCGCCAACTGTTTTACTGTCCTTGATCAATGAGCATCTCATTAAGGATGAAATTGCTCTTGATTTTCTATTGGAAGTTTGCTCGACTTTTAAGCAAGAGAAGGGAATTGCTTCATTGGTACAAATCTTAAAGAAAGGCAACGTTGAAAGCAGGTAGGCTCTCTATTCTATCACTGAATCGATTAAGCTATTTCAATAAAGCGTGCACTGCATTAGAACTGATTTCATGGACTTTTCAACCAAAAATCAGTGTCGGAAATGTGCTATAACGAACACCATGAATTTCTATTACTTGTCCGATTGAATGAGAATGTGAAACCTCTCTGGGTAACACATTCAACTAATCAATTGGTTTTTCAAGATTTTCAACATCTTTTCCAGTGTCAATTCAAAACGAATTTGACTATATCATTCCTTTAAATTTATTCCCAACTTGACATATCTCTTATGTTACTTTACAGACTTATGGACTTTTTCCCGCCGAAGAAGCAAACAGAGGAATACTTAAAATCAGTTTTCATAGAGAAGGGCTTGGCAGAAGTAGTGAAGCTGCACAAGGCACAAGCAAGCTACGAAGCCAAGCGGGAATTGACACAGGTAACCAATCAACACTAATATTTCTACCTTTTTGTAGTTAAAATGTTGCACTGTAGGAAAGAATTTCATTTGGCAAATTTGCCGAAGAAATTCTTTGAAACTTTCATTGAAATTTCATGTGCTAAATTAAACCAAATCTTTTGCTTACATTCGCTTTCAATCAATGGAACCGAATGTCAATGAAGAATCTGACAACCTATTCTTTCAAAAAACTTAGTTTTTCTACTGATAACTTGTGTTCAACGCACAATTTATTGAATTTTTTCCTTTTATTCTGAAGGTTCTCAACGATGACATCCGAGATAACAAAACGCACAAAGAAATCATTTCTGATATTCGTGAGTTGGCTCAAAAATCTAATATTGCTGATCATGAAGTTATCGGTTTGATTTGGACGACGGTAATGTCATTGGGCGAGTGGAACAAAAAGGAAGAATTGGTCACCGATCAAGCTTTGAAGCATCTCAAACAATACACCCAACTGTTGAAGGCATTCGCAACTACCGAAAAAGCTGAACTCTCTCTCATATTGAAGGTGCAAGAATTTTGCTATGAAAACATGAATTTCATGAAAGCCTTCCAGAAGATCGTTCTTTTATTCTATCAAGGTAAATATTATTCACACTCTTCATTTCATCTACGGCAATAAAATAGTAAAATAATTTAAAGGAAATTAACCTCAAATTATCAACATTGTTGCTAGATCAATTTAACATTCTCGATCTAGAGGCTTTCCGCACTTTTCCATCGGTCGTCTCTTATAAACCATTATGTTACATGTACAAAATAATATTATTTTTGCAAAGTAAATTTGAACGATTAAACTATTTTAAATTTAGTTAATTTTGAACCTTTTTTTTTGCTTTTCTGCAGCTGGAATTGTTTCAGAGGAATCGGTTTTGAAGTGGTACAAAGATGGACACTCGCAGAAAGGCAAGATGCATTTCTTGGAACAAATGAAAAAGTTCATCGAATGGCTTCAAAATGCCGAAGAAGAATCTGAATCTGAGGAGGAAGACTAGAGAGATTTAGCTTCCATAGATCCAACAATATCCACTCGAGAACGCAAATGCAAGCAAAATCATCAACACAAAGCAGAACAAAAATTTAAACAACAACAACAACAACCATTAATCCACACCAGTAAAACTTAATTCTAAAACTAAATAAAAAGAAAAAATGATAAAGAAAAACTTCAAAATAGAAATGAGTTGAATTTTCAATTGCCAAATGATAATCTTCCAAATCAAAGAACTGACTATCAACAGGTCACACAATTCACCAAAATACTTCTCAAAATGTTTTTGATCATTTTTAAAAATTTCATGAAACGAACACAAAACTGTTTGAATTATTATAGTTTTCAGTTGAAACTTTCAGCCGTGATTATTCTAACGAACCGATAGCACGCGGATTTGACGCCAGATACTACTCCCAAGATCTTTTATTTAAAAAGAAGAAAAACCCGATTTTTATCGTCTCATTTTGTATTTATCAAAATCAAATCAACTCATTGTACGTATTGTGAATAATAATCAGCTGGTGTATAACTGGTAATGCATATATTGGACACACCATGCAATAAATATCAAAACAATAGAATAAACAAACCTCTTTTTCTTTCCGGTCAGTCAATCAATCATTTTATTTATATTTATTAAAATGTGCAGTAAAAATGATCCAGGGTTTTATTAAATCTTCTATTTATTTTTATTGAATCAAAGTTGATAGAACAATCATATTTCACTGTCTGATTCATACTCCGTCCAATCCAAAGAATTCTTATCTAAGCTCCTGCTCTGAAGATAAACATCAAATTGTTCTGGAATGGACATGAATTTTCGGCACTTCGCTCGAAATTGTTTCCATGTCCATTGGTCGTAGTTCTTCTTGTCCATTACCATCGCCTTATAGTTTAACTTGTGTTTGTCCAAGAAATAGCTGAGCGATGCAATCAATCCTTTCGGCAATCTAAATTAAGGTCACTCGTGTCAGCTTTATTGAATGATAGACAGTTACGTTCGTTCATACCTGAAATTTGATTCGCGCAGAGCATTTGCTTCAGCTTCCATTTGTTCCATTACGAATCCTTTTGGTCTTTTGATCGGCTGTGGCTCGGCGCTATCATTATCTTCTTCGATGAATCCATGCATCTTCTTAATCATTCGTACACGTTCATCATGTGCATTCGTTATTTTAATCACTTTATTTGGATCCCAACCCAAGCCTATCTCCTTCAAATTGGATGTTATCGTTTTTCGATCTTCCCACACCAGACTATACAATGGAACACAAAGTAAGAGAGAAATCAATAGAATAATAGTGCTTAATTCATCATTTACCATTTTATTTGTCCGGTGCTTATTTTTTTTTTATTCAATCGTTTACGATTCACATTGTAACGAAATTTCTTTGCTTTTCTCAATTTATGCAGTCGAGGCATTTTTGATGAACTTGAAAACGATTTTAGTGTAAATGAAATCTATAAAATTTGGATTCAGAATTGATGGCTTTCAAATTCCAAAAATAACGTGGTATAGTAAACAGCAACACGCTGATATGTCAGTCACGAGTCTACTAAAGGCTGTCAATTTAGTACAGTACTTAACATTCTTAACCGTACTTTATGAGGACTCAGAAATACAATTTAAAATCTATTACAATTCGTTAACTTTTGACATCTTTATGAGATTTCATGAAAATAAAACAACATAATTTGGTAAAATTTGAAACGTATTGCCCGCATTTATTTCCAGAATTTTCTCGAGGCCATTTTCAATATAAAAATTAAATAATACTTATTTCTTTACTGGCAATAATGTGGGAAGTGTGTATGAGTAAGTTATTCTGAGAAGTGACGACTTATGCACAAAAGATATTAGAAGCAAGGAAGAAAGCATTGATGGAATTGATGTTTTAAAAATGAACTTAACAACTAACTTTTTCACACGATTAAATGCACTTTTTGTTCCACTTAAAAGATTTATCAATAATTGAAGGCGTTGGTGATTGTTATAGCTCTAAACGCACCCGTACTCATACCAAACGTGGTCATCGTTTTTCTTTTTGTCTTTTCCACCATTTCCATTGCTTGCGTTGTTATCGTTAAGGACTGAATTGTTTGGTGATTGCTGACTATTGGACGATCCGACTATTTTTGGATCGCCAATAACGTTTGAGATACGATTGTACATCAAAAACGTAGATGGAGTTTGATCATGGGACGATGAATGATTATTGTTATTGCTGTTGCTGTTGCTGTTGCTGTTGCTACTGATGCTCGAATTGTTGTTGCTGATCGATGTATTCCTATTGTTTGTTGCGTGTGATGATATCAACTCGGGGTCTGTTTGGGTTGTTGTATCCGGTATGGAATTTTCATCAACCACATAAACGGTTCGTCGACTACCGGCTGCAGCCAAAGTTAAGCTGCTGCCGGTGACATCAGGTGGCTCAATCCTCCTTTAGATTAGAAATCCATTTTAGTTATATCAACTCCTACATTAGGTAATTACAATTTGGTCTTACCCTGGCAATGTGTTGCGAGACGTTCGCATCAAATCTTCTCGAACTATTGGTTGATAATTGTTTGCTGGAGATGAAACTCGATTGGAAATAGTATCGTTATGCTGATCACTTACTGCTTTCCGTTGTATAGTAATGTGTGTCTCTTTCTTTAACAAATTTGAATCCGAAGCGGTTGAATGTGGCTCCTCACCGCTGTTATCTGACTCATTACCTCCCGAATCAAAGCCGAGAGTGAATTGTGACTGTGTCAGACGTGATTCGTCTAACCATGATCGTCGATTCTATAATATCAGAGAAGAATACTTTTTATATGAATTCGTTAAAATTTAGCCAAATCATATAGAAACATACACTTTTTGTCGGTACTTTATTCATAAGGTCAGTACCAGCCTTCTTCACTCGTCTCAGAACACCACTGCCGAACGGTTTCCTATAGTTACAAGTGTAATTCATCATATATTTTTTCTACAATGTCACGAAGTGGTTATGGATGTATTCGCGACAACTTACTTTTTTTGATTGCTGTCAATTTTTCGATAAAACTCCATAATTTTTTCCTCCAATTTCTCTTTCTGTCTATGCAAATGATTGACTTTGTCCGTAAATAGCTTCTCTTCATCATGATAATGTTGCTTGTCGTCCAAAGAATGACCCAAAAGCTCGTGGTATTGAGCAAGGAGTTGTGACACATGATCCATTAAAGCCCGACGATCAATATCAAGACTTGCATTCATCTGAACAAGCATCTCACAACGGTTTGCCTCTTTAGTGAGCTCAATCTCTAGTGCCTTGGCCTGATCTATTCGAATGCTGAGTTCACCATTCAGTTCAGTGTTCTGAAGGTTGAGTTTTGCATTTTCTGTTCGCAAAATCTTGTATTGTTCCTATATCAAAATATATATAATCACAATTTAACACAGTTCAATATTGAATATTATGAATATTATTTATTGGGTTAGTGTGTATAGTACCTGAATGCTCTTGTATTCATTTTTGACGCGATCATTGGTGGTAAACAGGCTGCGGAAGTCATCTTTCAGTTTGGAGTGCTCCGAACGCAAATTGCTATAGGCTTCGTTTTCCTTTTTGATCGTAAGAAGTTTTGCTTGCAAATCGCTGATTTGATGTTTTAGATTTAGTTCTTGATCGTGAAAGTTTCGGTTATCGTGACGTACATCACGTAGCGACTCCTTGAGTTTCTTATGTTCCTTGTTCAATGCTTCATATTCGATGCTTAGTTGTTCGTGCAGCGTTTGCATTTGCTTTTGATCTGCCAACAATGATTTATGTTGCGACTCGATTGTTTCCATTTGCTTGACAAGTGCGTCTTTTTCGGAAGCCAACTGCGAGTTGGCCAGCTGCAAAGCGACGTGTTGTGTATTTAATGACGTCACTTGTGAGCCGAGCGTTGAAATATCTACTTGATGTTTGATCAAGTCCTGATTAAGAATGTCATTAGTCGCTTGAAGTTCAGCATTTGCAGCTGCCAATTGGTCACACTGCGCCTTCCACTCGGCTGAAACAGATGATAGAACTTCTTCGGTTTGGTGCACCAAATCGGCTTCGCGTTCGGTGGCCACAACATCAACATTCTTCTGGCAGAGAATGCAGGCCGAGCTACCGTCATCGCTTGTGCCACCGTCACGACCGACTATCTCACGCAGCACCTTCCAATTTTCTACATTGATCAACAGCTTCTCAAGAACATTTTCCACACTCAAATCGACCATCTCCTCATCATTTGTTGGCCAATTAATGTTCAATTTTTCGAGATCTTTTTGAATTTTCGAAACAAGCACATTTTTTGCAATCAGATCATTTTGTAGTGTGGAAAGCGTTTCATCTTTCATTTTGAGCTGTGTCACAAATTCATTGTTTTTACTTTCGAGATCCTGAATTTTGGCACACTCATTTTGAGCGGCAGATAGTTGCTTGCGCAGCGTTTCGATTTCATTTATTTGCAAAAGCAATTGGGCACTATTTTCATCCAGTTGCACTTCCTTTGTCTGAATCAAATTCAAAATGGAATGTATTAATATCGAAATTGTGTAGAACAAATCGGTAAAATGTGATTGTTACCTCCAATGTCGCCTTAAATTTGTTCAAATCCTTTAATAGATTTGCATTCTCCTTCTCCAGGCCACTGATTCGCTCCTTCAAATCCAGGGTTTCGATTTCAAATCGATCACATGCCTCTGCTTTTGGTAGTGTTGATTCCAGTTCTTTTTTCTTCGTGTCCAGAAAACGTTCTAGGTCATCAGCACGCCGCTGAATGCTCACACTCAAGTTATGAATGCGTTGTTTTTCTTTTGTCAATGTTTCCACCTGTTTTTCGAGCGCCTCTTGCTTAAGTCGGTCAAGTTCTTTGTCTTGCATTTGACGCTCGGTGGTTTGTTGTCGATTGTCGATTGCATCTTGGAGTTTCTTATTCTCTTCGAGTGCATTTTTAAACATTTCTTCAAGCTCTTGATTTTGCTGCGAAAATCGATTACAATTCTCTTGCATTTGTTCCAATTTAAGGGTGAGCATTTTCTTCTCTTTTTCAAGCTCTAATATTTTGTTGGCCGTTTCTTGGAAATTTGTCTCTTGCATAGCATCGAGAGCTGATTGTAATCGGCGGTTTTCCAATTCTAACTTGATGGCACGTGTCTGTTTTGTCAATTATTTTATGGGTTAAATAAAAAATGTGAGATTTCCAGTTCAAATGATCTTCTTTTACAGCATTCAAAAATACCTGTGCATTGTTGGTTAATTGCTCCGACAAACTGTTATCACCGACTGGACCATCATTATCATGCTCTTCACTCTTCAGCTTGTCAACGTCCGATAGTTTATTCAAAGACTTCATTGCAAGTTGAAGCTGCGTGTTTTCGTCGAGCAATTCCTGTAATTTTCCACGATCGGCATCGCGTTCCAAGGCCATGTCATTTAACTTTTGCTTGTATTTAATTATCTCCGATTCCAGCGTCATTGATTGTTCGAATCGCTTTCGAGACTGTGTCAATTGATCTTCCAACATTTCTCTGTAAATAAAAATCACATATTTTTATTTCATTGGAATTAAAAACTTCTGAAGTCAACAATTCGTTCAAACGATTATATTGTTCAATGATCGTGAATTTTTACTTTGTTTTTTGCAGCATGCGATTGTCTTCACGCAGCTCTTCGGCACGTGTTTTGAAAAAGTCAGCATCGCTCAGTTTTTCACGTATTCGCTGCATTTCCAATTCTAATTGATCTGCTCGATCAGCACGCTCCCGCAGAACATCTACTTCGTCACGATATGCAGCAGCCCGGCAAGATTCGGTATACCATTCTTGTGTCTATTGAACAGAAAATAGATGATATCACACTGATTTGTTTCACTTTTGTTAGAATGTGCAAGGATATAATTACATCACGACGTAATTTTTCATATTGACTATTTTTATGTTCTAGTTCTTCTTTCGCTTGAAGATATGCATCCGTTTTTTCATCTCTGCAAACAGATAAAGTATATATCAATAAACTTGAATTTCAATTGTGGCACAATATAATCAATTAACAATCTTACAGGTCCTGACGCAGTTTTCTTAACTTTGACTTTAAGTCGGCAAGTTCAACGGCCAAATGATTTTGGTCACTATTGATAGCGGCTGTTTGATTCGTAGTGGCTTCCGACGTTGAAAACTTAGCATCGTTGGGATTTGGTGTCACCTGTGTTATCCAATCAGTGTGGTATTTGTCACGCTCACGAGCAATTCGAACAACAAGATCAATCAAATGATCAACACTCAAGTTGTAACTGTGTGGTAAAAATACAGAACAAATAATATAAAAAAACAATATTATTTGTTTTATGTTTTTCTTCGAACGACAACTGAATCATTTGTTTTTGTTTTTAGCATTTGTGCAATATTTAAAAAAACCTGGCAGTAAATATTTGACTACATGATTTTGCTTTTCTTCTAAATAGCATGTTGCAATTTGCTTTTGGAATATACCTCACTATTAGTTCAAATGAAAGCCGTCATGTTGTACAAAAGGACTTGAAATTAATTTAGATAAAGATAAGATATTTGTGAAAAATCATAAAAATAATTAAGATGAAGATGAGATATTATCTTATCTATCCAATAATATTTTTTCATTTATCTTTTTGTTATTACTTTCCCACACGACCATGTCGTATAAGAAAAGTATTGGGATCGCCCTAGATTTTTTGACCCACTAAAAATCAGTTTTTTTTTTCGATTTTCGAACGCCGAAAATCGCGAACACTAGCGGTATTTAAGGGTCGTAAAGTAGGTGCGTGGTACACTGTACGCTGTACGCAAAAAACACGGTAGAAATTTTGCTATGTCACAATGTATAAAAAAACAGAGTATTGAAATCGCTCTGATATTAAGGTGTGATTTACATATGATTTTTTTCTAATTTCAATACATGGAGAATTGGATTTAATTGGAAATTATATGTTTGGGAGTGTAGAAAAGTCAGACTTACGAATGTAAGGCACCTTGTCTTTTCTATGTTTCCTATGGAGATCTCGAATTATCTTTGAAATTATCTACAATATTCAATATAGATAATCCAAAAATATCAAGATAAGATAGCAAGATAAATTACTATTCTGAGTTTGAATCGAAATTTAGATGGAGATAAGATCTCATCTTATCTATCTAAATTTTATCTTTGTATAACACTGCATGTAATCATATGAGTAGCACTCAGATCGTTTCGAAGAATTTCCATGCAAAATGACAGTGGGGCACTTTTGCAACATGCTATTTCATTTTTCACCTTAATCTTCAGTCAAATTGTTAAGAAGATACATTAGTTCAAATCAAATATAATGGAAACAATATATCGAAAATAATTACCGTCGATCACTATCTACGGTGTCCGTATTGAGAACCAATGTTTGCGAATCTGTCACAAGTTTGATGACGTCAACTATGGCATGTTGTGTATCAACAGCAAGTTCTTTGATACGCGCGATGAAAAACTGCTTATTGGGGCATTGAACCGCAGCACCGAGAAGCAATGTAAATAGTAATTTCATTTGATCTAGTCCAGCTGTTGATTCTTTTTAGCCAAAAGAAAAAGAAAAAGCAAATTACTCCACAAAAATGATTCAACCGTAATAATAACGAGCGCGTTGAAAATACAAACCTGGTGCGTGACCTAATGTCATGCAGTCCGGAACTACAAGTATTGTCTGACCCAGTTCTTCCTCGTACAGCGATCGCATGTTGCGAATAATATTATCGAAGTTTTTGGCTCGAACAATCGGTACTGTGGCTTCATCTAAGTCTGTTAAATGTTGTGGATAGAACTGAGGCTCCGGATCTATATTTTGCCAGACGGCATGAAAAATTGATGCATCGAATAACGACTGATAGCCATTTAAAAGTTCGGGCCGTGGCAGACATGACTCCAGCTAATATATGAGACAAAATCAAAATCAAAATCAAAAACTATAATCATCTCATTTAATTACGGAAAGTCTGTGTAAAATTTTGCACCGCAGACTTAACGGTAACTAGAATCTAATTGGTTTTTTTTCTATACACAATTCGGCAGTGGTTACGCAATCCTATACAGTTTAATTTTTTTTACATTTGGTAATTTGCATGAAATCGGGTCAACCAAGAGTTTTTTCTTGTCAGTAAAATCGCAAATAAACCAATCTTAGCAAACTTGAATTCAAGCTTAGCATGCCATTCGCAATTGAAATGGTTCGGGGAAAAAACAAAGTAGTCAATTGAAGTTTAGCTTCATTTGATGTAGAATCTTAACAAAGGCTTTTTAAAGTTGAAACCAATTCATTTAAAAAATCTCCAACAATCCGAAAAAATACACAAAAAATCCCCACTCGAGTTTCCAATTTTGGTGATTAATGGTAACATCGTTCTACGCTCATCGGATTTAAAATATGAACTAATTTGAATTTTAAATAAAATTGATTTCAAAACGTTTTTCATGTTTCTTTATTTTCTCAATATATAGGTGCCCAAGATGAGTTTTCAGTTTGGTACACCGAAAACATTGTACTCAAAGTCGTTTGACTTCTTTCGGCAGCCAAGTAAAAAATATTCTCGAATCGTACCGAATGCATCATGGTGCACGAAACCGATGTCGATTCGATCACCACCGAATGAAGATGAACTGAAGGCGTTTTTCGTAAGTTTTGGCTATTCAGTTGAAATTACGAAAAAATTTCGTCGCATTTTCACGGATGAACAACCGTCGTCAAGCGAGAGTATCAAAAGTGATTCATCTTCGGTCTCGAATATTCCGAATCAACTGTACTGTGGCCACATCCCAAGTGATGTAACTGAACGTGAGCTGTTCGAAGCAATCAAACTGCACGCAAAACCTACCGAAATATGTCTTATGATGGATGCCGTTGCACAGAAACATCGCGGATTTGCGTTCATTAAGTTGGCCAACGAAAAAGACCAGAGGCTCGTTTTGGACAATATCGACGGTTTCGAAATACGACCTGGTAGAAATGTGAAATTGAGTGTTTACAAACCCAATCGCTCCTTGTATGTTGCAAATATACCAAAGTCGATCAGCGGTGATCAGCTGCGTGATGAATTCCGTAAATATTTGCTTGGCATCGCAAATGTAGTCGTCTATCGACCATTTAGCAATTGCCGCATAGGCGATCAAAATCGTGGATTTTGCTTTTTGGAATTCGAATCTCATGATATGGCCCGAGTTGCTAAACGAAAACTGGAACAAGATCCGAAAAGAATTTTTGCGAATGCAGTTTTTGTTGATTGGGCTGATTCACTCGACACACCATCCGATGAAATCATGCAAAATGTTCGCGTGCTTTACGTTCGAAACATACACGAATCGGTTACTGAGTCTCAACTCGATCAGGTCTTCAGTCCATTTGGTGAAATTCAACGAGTGAAACGAATAAAAAACTTTGCCTTTATTCACTTCCAAAATCGATGCGAAGCATTGGATGCTATGAAGTCATTGCAAAATTTGCAATTATGCGGTGAAAACCTATCGATATCGTTGTCATACCCACCGCTCGACAAGAAGAAGAAGGAAGAGGTCTTGAGAATGCGACAAGAAAGAATCATGCGAGAGAGTCCCATACGCATCCGTTATTGACATTGATTATAATATTATTTGATTTTTAAACATTTCATTCAATGTATCACAACATATATTGTAATGCAAAATAATTAAAGCAAAAAAAAAACAAACAAACAGGACAATAAAAAACCCAATACATTTACATACCCATGTGATTAAAGCTCCATTGAGAAATTCATCGATTTCATTAGCTGTGGCGTTGGTCGACATTGTGTCGCTAATTAAAATTGGAATTGAATTTAAACACAAATATCACAAATATTTTGATTTCAGTTTCGATGTTTATTTAATTTGCACAGCGCGTTCATGACGGACCACAAAATTTTGGTTGGGTTCAATGTTTCGTATTTCTGTCACAACTATATCATCACATCACATATTGAAACACTTCTATTGGCAATTAGCACTTGCAAATATAGCTAAAAAAATGAACAAACATAAAAAATAGCGATCACAAAACTATTAAATGAAAATTAAGTTCAAAGAACTGTTTTGAGATGAAAATCAAATGTCTTCGAAGTGAGAGAAAATTAAAACTGTGACCGATGTGTTGATGCAAAACGGACACACAAACAACAGCGATGGAAAATAAAATAGAAATAAAACGCTCGAGCGCTGCAATCACGTACCAGCGACACAAAAATGTTCACATTGCTTAATGCATATATGCATAATTTCTACATGTGTAACATAATCGCATTTCAGGCAATGCGACTGCTGCATTGAAAGAAAAAGTATCGATGGTTCATGGTACACTGCACGATGGAAAATAAGTACAAATTTGACGCTTTGTAAGCTGCATCAAAATACTTGCTCTTTTTAGGCTCACTTAGTACCGTCTACTGCCTGCATATATTCTTTAAATCTGTGCATTTTTCCTTAAATTTTCTTGTCACTCGTTTCTCGTTTTGTATACTCTATTTCACATTCCATTTTCGCCTTTAATCGTGTACATTGCATACACCAAATGTAGTTGGTGTATAGTTTGAAGAAAAAAAACTAAGATTTCATGTAAAAATATCCGTGGCTGCTGAACAGCACATATGGTGAGTGGTGGACTGAAAGACAGACCGACAATGAAAGCAATGTTACGTGCAACTATAGCAGAGACTACCATGCACGTATTTGTTTATAGAAATCGCTTGTGTCTTTGCTCGACAACTAGTTTCATATTCCTTTTCTATCGACATTTCCTCTCCCATTCAATGCTCTACTACTTGCTTCTTTTTACATTGAATGCACAGGCCAAGCGACTAAGAAGCAGCTAAAATGTTCTCACTATCTCTCATAATATGTAATGTAATTCAAAATATTCGATATATATAGTAGCAATCGTCAGTAGCACCTGTCTATTATAATGCTACTTATATCGTTATTAGTTGGCATCTCACAATTAATTTGGCAATGAAATCCATAAACAATTCAAATTATTGAAATTATTTACGTCTTTCACGCAAACTGAATAGTAAATAGTATAAACTGATGAAACGAATTCGTTCGCTTTTAGTTAATTACAATCAACACTATACTATTTTCACAGCACCTGTACACAATTTTATTTGGATTTTTAAAAATATTGAGCCAATTTTTTAAAATATTCAGGAGAAATATTAACAATACGAAGTGTCAGGCAACAAAGCAAAACCTACGAAATGAAATAACTCTGAAGACACGAAATTTGCATTCACTCAATACTAAAGATGTTGTGTATGTGTGTTTGGATTGAACTTTTTTTGCACAAAAACGGTGAAGAGAACGCTCTCGGTTGTATTGTATTGTTTGTTGTCGAAATAAAACTGCTTTCCATTCTTCTGACTCTGTTTAGCATTCACGCGTCTCAACGCACGAACATTCGTCCAACGAACATTTAATGTCTTGTATACGTCGTCTGTATGTATGTATGTATGTATGAGTGTGGCCCTTTTTTCGGTTGCTCATTTTCCTACAATCAATACATGTTGTTCTTAAGAATTGTGAGACAATAGAATTCTTGCACAGATGAAATTTAACTCGATTCGGTGAATTTTTAGGAATGTATTCGTGTTCGTGCTTAAATCCGAATCGCAAATATTATATTCACCGCATATAGGTAGACTGCCTTTATTTTTGTGACAATAGCCATGCGAAATTCCATCAGGCAAGTGGAAGCCGTTAAAATTTAACCGATGTGTGGGAGTTGGATAACATGGAATGAAATCAGAAATGTTCATTGTTTTCATTTCATAACTATTATTTGTTGGCTTGGTTCAAATTATACGCTAAGTGAGTTTTCATTTGTTTTTCAGCCAAGGTCTAGTTCACGATGTTCCAAACTGATTTTTTTTTCATTGAAACCATGTGACCAATTTAAAAATGTATAGTGTGCCGCGTTTGCGTTCGGTCGAAATGTCATTCTGTACAATTTGTCCCAAACTTTGTTTGTGACGTATTAGATGACGTTTCGATTTGAATTTCTCAAATACGCGCAACATATCCAATAGAAATTTCCATACATATGTGCAAGTAATGTAGGTTAGAATTTTTTTGACAATGGCCACTGACGGGATTTCACCTGCACTCGCAAGTAAATATCAAAATTATTAATTATTTTATTGCGAAAATAGCAAAAAAATCTGAAAATTAAAGAAAGAAAAGTATTAATATCAGGTGGAAAGTTGCATTTTACTAAATAATTGGCACATTTCAAGTGCTGTTACAGAAATCATGAAGACACATTGCGACACAGACAAAGAAATGAGTATATACATGCGGAACATACGTTGCTGTTTATAGACTATGCTTTTTTTTCTACAGACGGAAAAAATAGTTGACTTATATCACGGTTAAAATTATCAAATGAAATGTATAATGCAAATAGTTTGAATTTATATCAACACATGGACATATTTGTCAATTTTAATATTCGGAAAATTCTTGTTTGGTTATAGTTTATTCGTGTCTAAAATTATCGCACAGATGATTATTTCACATAGACAAATCGAAGCAATCTTATCAACCTATCGAGAGTGCTTCTACTGGGTACTTTACCGAATCCTGTGGACCTTTCTCGGAGCAAACACTAATCATAGTGCTAATTTTTAGAACCGTTGAAAATTATAAATATTTCCACTGACTTAATGGAAATTCCTTTTGATTGACATTTCAGTTCGCTCCAGCGTCGGCGTGGAATTATGGCATTCAGCCGGTGCAAACAACACTTACACAACGAACGAAAAGTTTGCTCGAGACGAGAGTAAATTCTGTCGAGCCATTGAATTCAGTGGCGATGGGCGATACTTGGCATGGGCAAATGGCACCAAGTACGTATCGAACAATTGTTTTGTCATTTTTTGTTTGTTTTGTTTGACTAAATCTCTAAAATTGAATTGCAGAGTTCAAATTGCATCTGTGAATAACTGGAATGTTATCTGTTCATTGCCACGTCCGAAAGCATTCGCCATAAAATTCTCGCCTAAAGGAACGTATTTAGCAACACTTGAACATTATTCAACACCCAAAGATGGATCAGAACCACATCCAAATTTCTGTGTGTACCGCGTAAGTACGAGTGAGGCCGTATTTGCGATCATCAACAAGAACTTCCCTGATGATTGGATGCCCGGATGGTCGAGCGATGAGGGAGTATTTGCGCTCATGGTTGGCGGTGAAGCTTTCTTTTACGAAACAAACGGTCCAGATGGGTTTCAGAAATCTGCCAATAAGATTGGTGGTAGTCGAGGTGGTGAACTATCGATTGCGGGTGGCGGTAGTAATCCACAGGTTGCTCTTTATGTTCCTGGTCAGAAAGGCCAGCCATCTATATGCAAAATTTTTCGATATCCAGCGCTTGATGCGAATCAAATCATTGCATCAAAAAGTTTCTATCAAGCCGATCGTGTTGAAATGATGTGGAACAAACGTGCCTCAGGTATTCAATGAATGAATTATGTGTGCCAACAACATTTTTAATCATTTGCATTATTTCCTTGCATGTTCGGAATATAGGAATGATTCTGATGACCAGCACTGACGTAGATGCCACCGGAGCATCATATTATGGCAAGCAAGCCCTCTACTTTATGAGCACAAAAGGAGATTCGTGTTCGGTTCCATTGAGCAAAGAGGGTCCTATACACGCAGTCCAGTGGAGTCCCAAGGGAAACGAGTTTTGTGTAATTTATGGTTACATGCCGTCCAAGGCCACTTTCTTCAATTTAAAATGTGACCCAGTGTTTGAAGTAAAAGAGGCAGCAAGAAACAGCATTTATTATAACCCATTCGGAAATATTGTGCTCTTGGCTGGTTTTGGTAATTTGCGCGGAAGTGTAGAAGTTTGGGATGCCAACGAGAAAAAGCTTATTACAACATTCCAAGCAGCAGACTCGACACTTGTAAGTACACTCATTGCAATAGCATTGTTATGAAACGAGGTATTTATCGAAATGATTTTTGTATATGTAGTTGGAATGGGGACCAGATGGAGAAAATCTTGTAACTGCAACAACTGCGCCTCGTTTACGCATTGGAAATGGATTTAAAGTGTGGCATTATTCTGGCGCTCTATTGCATGAAACTGTTTGGCCCACAGGCCAGGAGCTGTTGCAAGTTTGTTGGCAAAGATTTGCAGATGGCTTATTTACTGAGAAACCAATATCGAATGTAAAAGTGGCGGGAATTCAACCAAGCCAACCACAAAGCAGTAAGGCCGTTTATGTGCCGCCAAATATTCGAAGCGGCGGTGGCAGCGCAATATCATCGGCTGGTGTTTCACAGAGACCTAATCAGCCACCAGTTGAAAGGGGTCCAATTCCTGGCCTGCCAATAGGTTACAAAGTTAGCCAAGGGCAAAGGAAAAAAGACCGAAATGCAAAACGAAAAGAGAATGAAAATCCAAAACAAAACATTACATCAAATTCAAGTGCAAATTCAAATGCCACAAAAGTAGAAGGTAACTCACCTCAGACGAATCCAAATCAAGCGAATCCAACGTCAAATAATAAGCGAAATCAGCGACGCACACCGCGACAACCAAACAATCAAAACCACACAAATGGTAATAGCTCGAACATTCAGAACATCAGTGATTCCACGCCCACTCCCAATTCTAATGCCAATACCAATGTCAATGTCACCAACAATTCAAACACAACTCTGCCAAATGAGGAACAGCCAATTGCAAATGGGTCAGAAGCACAAAAACGAGAAAGAAGACCCCGAAATCGACAACGAAAATCCGAAGGGGGAGTCGGTGGTACATTGGGAGATCCAGAGAAAGACAAACGAATGCGTACGGTACAACAAAAGCTACGAGACATTGCCAAATTAAAGGTTCGCCGAGATAACGGTGACAATCTTGAAGTCAATCAACTGTCAAAAATTGGATTGGAAGCCGAACTCATCAAAGAACTCAACTCGCTCAAAGTCGAAGCTTAAAACAAAACGATCGCTTGAAGAATAAATCATCAAAACAAATCTATGTATGAACTTCGCCTTATAATCGTTCTGAGGGTATACCATTCGTAGTTTTGCTTGACTTTGAAACATATAAAGAAAGAAAAACACCAGATCGTTGCATGAATCGAATAAAATTGTACCACCACTTTTTGTTAATTTGGAATTTCAAAATTATCATCAGGTTATGACACATTTAAACAACACGGATAACTAGCAAATCTAGAACAAGGAAATAAACACTAAAAATTAAATCATCTGGATCAAAAAGAATATTCAACATGTTTTTTTGTTCTATGAAACTTTAATAATTTAATTTTAGTATACGGAGGAACATAAAACATCCTATTCCCACTTTGAACGTCGTTTTGTGTATACCTCGGTGCCATCGGGTTGTACCGCAGGGTAATAGCCTTGACTTTCGTATTTCGAACGCATGTATGTGATATAGCCGAGTGCAGTTCCAAAGCAAACGGCTCCAATAGCCATAATTACTAGATTCTAAAGCGAAAAAAAGTGTTTGTGTGGAATTTTGTTCGAAAAATCAAATAAAATGAGATGATGGCTTACTGGTTTCGCATATAGCTCAAAGTTAACCGCTCGAAATAAGGTGGTACTTCGCATCGACCTGATTCCTTCACCAGGCTGATATTGCGGCTTCTTCTCTGGCTGTGGTACTTGGTTGTCACTCATTTTCTTTTAAAACCGCTTTGATTGAAAAAATTTCCCCGATCCCTAATATATATGCTACAATGTTTTAAGAGTATTATTATGTCATGTGTTTGATTCAATGACATTTAACAGTTTGATATGATACATAACCTCAAAAATGTTACGAATGAATTGTCAGAAAAACAAGTGTTTCAATTTGTTGAATATGAAAAGAATTTATTCGATTAAATCATGATATTTTAATGCTTTTGAGGACAATTTTTGATCCACAAAACATACATGGTTTATTTTTGCTCGGTTGTTTTCTGTTTTGGTCGTATGAATGATTAAATGGATCTCATTTAGACAGCAATTGGTTCAACGAATCCGCAGCATTTTACTGGATCGAAGAGAAAGACATTCAAATGTGGTGCTTCCTTTTGCGAAACGGCCTTAATCACCTCTTGCGATAGCTCACCGCCCACAATGGCTGCAACCGGCGAAACCTGGGCAAAAACGTGAACGAATGCTGTGTCTGGTACTAGTCCCTTGGCAATTTCATCACGAATAGCAAGTAATTTGTGCAGATCATCATTTCGAGTGCTTGGCTGAGGATCACGCTGTTCGGTGTCACGGAATCGTTGCAAAATCTTAGTGATGACATAAGATGACCCATTACGCTTCAATTTACGAGCGAAGAATGGAGCAGTGTAATCAAAATCAACTACATCCTGTAGTGGTGGGAACGCGAGTGTTCGCATAACATTTGACTTAACGGTTTCTCTTTTCGGTTTTTCAGCTCCATCTGAAATAATTTTGTGCTTGGTGATTTCTCTGTGAAAATAAAAAATAAAATGTTTTTGAAAGCAAAGTAAAATATAGAAATATCCTAATAAACATACTCTGAAAATTCATGTTCCTGTAGATCGGTGAATGTGTACCCATTCATGCCCCAGACATCGCCAGCGAAAAATTTGATGCCTTTCAGGCGACAAATGTTGTCGACACGGATCAAAATTGGTGTTGGCGTTTCAATCAAAATGACAACGTCGAATCGGTGGAAATATTCGTCTGGTTTTTCGCTGACATTTTCTTTGTCCACAACAATTTCGACCATTGGATTTAAGGCCTGAGCACGGAACAAAGAAGCTTCTGCACGATTCAGTCCAACACTTTCATGCGGAACCAGAAACTGTGAACAAAAGTCGATTTCTGATACTGGCTTATCATCCAACAATGTCACCGACTTTACACCGGAAAGAATTATATTCTTCGCAACTTCAGCGCCCAATCCGTTCAAGCCACAAATTAAGATGCGTGCTGCCCGTATTCGTTTCTGCGAATCCAAACCCCAAAGTCTTATTTGACGATCGTATAATTCGGCCTCATCTTCTGTTAATTCGATGCCATTGTTTTCAACCATTTTGGCGTTTGAACTTATCTGTTATGGATATGAAAAAAAAATCGTTTACAAATTTATTGTTTCTCAAGACACTATTGATTGACGAGATGACCAATGACAATGAAATCGAACAACGCCGACTAACACACAAACACTCTTTCAGTGTGTATAGTCACAAAGTTTGACATTTTTGACAGGTATTTGAGATTGTGACAAACGACCGAAGCGTTTTGATTACATTCGTTTACGGCTTAAAAAAGAATACCGTGACCATAACAATCGAACCAACAAACGAGATTATTCTCAAAATTTAACCAAAAATAACATTGCTTTGAAAAAAAGGGATAGTTTAATTACTTAAAAAATCGTTTGTGATATGGTAGCCATGTCTCAGTTAAAGAAAGACACAAATCCGGATGAAAATCAAATCACAACCGAGAATCGAAGAAGCAACGAATCAACTAGCCAATATCAAATTCGTCCTAGTATTGGAAAATCATTCCCAATCACTGGAATACGAGAAATTATTAATGAAGTTTTGCTGCAAATACTTGATGGTAACTTATAACCAATATGTTCAATACAAAAATTGTCAGTTAATATTAAATAATACATTAAATTTGATGTTTTTTAGGAAAAGAATACTCCAACAAGGAGGTATCGGATTGGTGTCGACAAATAGTGAATGAAATTAACCGGCGCATAAAGGACCTCGAAATTCCACGCTACAAACATATTGTACAAATTATGTTGGCTGAACAAACGTATGTATAGTACAATGAAGTCTTAAGCTTTAAACTAATTGTCAGAAAATTTTAAAAACTATTCAGGGGAGCTGGATGCAGATATATCGCGAGATGCCATTGGGATGCCAGTTGTGATAGCAAAATATCCGAACATTACAAATCGGAAACCATAATTTGCATTGTTACTGTATTTGGAGTTTATCAATATTAACGAAATATTTAGTTGTATAATTAGCTTTAATTAGCAGCTTTAATTACATACGAATATAGATTTATCTTAAGTCGTCAAAGAATGTTTCATTAAATAAATTCAATTCACACAAATACATCATATTGGCACTTTGAAATGTTGACCTTGTACCATGATAGATTTTCCTTGCTTTTTGCTTTCAGGCAACGTTGAAAATACAAACTGAAACAATGTGGAAACAATGTTAGGTAAAATTTTGGTGATGAATTAAATTCAGAACGATTGATAGGCTGATACGTACACGTGGTGATTTCTGTTTTGTACTCATGTGGCCGATGCAAAACGACTGCGTTGTGTGGCTCCATAAGAGCTCACCATCGCCATTCTCTGCGTCATAGACCTGAAAAAATACAAAAAGTTGTGTTAGAACCGAAAAAAGTTAGAAAGTACCAGTCTTTTCTCACCAGTGTCAAGGCACCACCATATACTTCGTCTAAATGTTTTAAAAATGGAGATTCGAGGAAATCATTTTTGAACGTTTTATGTAGCGATAAAATCGAGCATTGGTCATTTTTTAAATTAGTCACGATTTCGCGGGCTAGTAATGTCCTCATCAAATATTCACCGTTGCCAGTTGTACAAGTAGCAATCGATTTATTCTTCTCTTTTGATGCCCAGCATCCAGCTCCATAGCATGCAGCCTGTCCAATTCGGCCCGATAATTTCAATATAAGACCACCCGAGCTGCAGCCAGCCACACAGTTACCTAACGAATCAACAACCACAGCACCAACCGTATCTAAGGGAGTAACTTTTACATTAAACGTATTTTCATATTGCTCAATATTTTGGCGATAGTGATCGTAGGTCTTGCGTGCTTTATTTGAAATCATATCCTCCTCGTTTACCAACGGTAAATTTATTTCTTGCGCATACTTAACGGCACCATCACCACATAAAATCATTGGCGGTATGCGATCCATTGATAGTAATTTCGATTGCCGTTCGCAGAGGATACGTGCCAATCTGATTGGGTTTTTCACTCTTGATAGATTCGTGCATGCGCCAAATTGTCGTGTCGCACCATCCATAATCGATGCTTCACATTCAATTCTACCGTCCCATGTCAAATTTGACCCATAACCAGCGTTGGTGTAACCGCAATTTTCCAGTGCAACGATGGCCGCCTCGCAAGCCTCAAGCGCTGTACCACCGGACTTGAGTATCGATGTTCCAAGTAGACATGATTCCTTGCAAATTTTCTTGTACTTTGTTTCATTTACACAATTACCCGCCCCTAAAATTTCAATCAATCACAATTTACTACATTCATCCGGACAAGTTTAACTCAATATTCATAGCAATATTATACTCACCCGTATGAACAGCCACAAAACCAGCCATAATACATTTATTGGCGTTTATGTGTTTCAAATTGTATAAATTTGCGCATGAGGAAAGCGAATGGCCTTCCTTTTCTCGCCAGTCTCGTTTTCTCCGCTGGTGGTAAAATCAGAGAGTTTATTTTGAGTTAAAATTTAAAGTTTGACAGTAAAACATGATAAACAATGGTGTTTTTATTCATACATACACACACCATACCGATTGTATGTAATTGAACGGATTCATTGAGAGAAATAGCATGAACCGTCGCCGTTTTGCCCATTTGTGACAAACACACATAGCAGAAAAAAAAGTTTGGTTATTTTCGACAGCAGTAGAGCAATAGAAGCAGCACTATTATATTGGCATTCGCGACTTTTCGTCATTAGAATAGTCATTTTTCCGCTTTTGTACCGAATATACACTTATCAAATTTGCAAAAGTCGGATTAACATTTTTTTTGACACATTTTAAAGTAACAACCAATTCAACTGAAGAAAAAGACGTCAACTCTGTGTGTGGACAAGCAATTAAATCACTTAAATTATCATGGAAAAAGTTAGTTCTGTCGCTATTTTAGATGCAGGAGCACAGTATGGAAAGGTAATGATTTATTTTTATAATGCACTTTTTACAATGACATTCTGTACGTTGTCCTGGAATTTGATGGAGAAACTATAATTATTGCTAGGTAATCGACAGACGTGTTCGTGAGCTAAATGTTTCATCAGAAATATTGCCACTCGATACGATGGCGTCAGAATTGCGTGACTATAAAGCAATTATTATTTCGGGTGGCCCAAACAGTGTTTACGATGACAGTGCACCGCAGTATGATGCCGATATATTCAAGTTGGGCATCCCAATATTGGGTTCGTACTATTATATTATATATTTTCTGATATATCTATACATATAGGTGATTCATGAAAAAATAAAATGTCACATTTAGAATGCATACTAAGATATACACAATACTACGTTTGTTCTAATTGAATTTGTGCCACTTTCAGGAATATGCTATGGTATGCAAATAATTGCCAAAGAATTTGGCGGTGAAGTTCGGAAAAAGGAGGTACGTGAGGATGGACCAACTGAAGTCGATGTGGATTCAAAATGCCCACTATTTGAGTGAGTAGAATTTAAAACGTTATTTTAAATTGATTGTGTTTGTGTGACGTGAGAAAAACGTGCAGATCAGAGGTTCAAGAAGGGGTTCAATATAAAGTTTAGTATTGTTGACCCTGATACAAGCCTCTCAGATTAATAGGAGTGATGCTCGAGAACAACTTGGTATTCATTAGAGATAATTAAAATATCAAGCTACATCGTAAGCTTCACAGGCATTATTATTATTAGCGAAAAATATTTCTTATCAGTAAATCAGTGACCCATTCATTATAGACAAATTATTAGTTAAAATATAAACCATGTAGCAATTTATTTATGTAGGCACGTTTCACTCTGAAAAATACAAAATTTGTATTTTATTCAATTTCTTTATTAATCCATCTAACAGTAATTTAGAGAAACAACAACAAGTTTTATTGACGCATGGCGACAGCATTACCGAAACTGGCGATCGATTGAGACTTTGTGCATTGTCAGCAAGTCAAGTGATTGCCGGCGTGTGGAATGAGGAATTTCGTGTTTTTGGCGTTCAATTCCATCCAGAGGTAAGCAAATCATCGACTTTATCAAATCAACCAATCGTATGTAATGCTAAACGTGGTTTGCAGGTTGATATAACCACAAATGGTCAGCAAATGTTGCGTAATTTCTTGATGAAAATCTGTGGAATGATGCCAAACTTTACAATGGAGTGCCGTAAGGAGAGTTGTATGAAATATATTCGCGAAAAGGTCGGAACAAGCCAAGTTTTGGTGCTGGTTAGCGGCGGTGTCGATTCGACCGTGTGTGCCGCATTGCTAACACGTGCTCTGAATCCAAATCAAATCCACGCGGTTCATATTGATAACGGTAAAATTGGAAGGAAAAAACAAAACAGCACTTTTAACAATAGAATTAAGCTTTGCATTTCAAACAATACGGAATAATATTTATTAAATTTGCAGGGTTTTTGCGAAAAGATGAGAGCAAGGAAGTCAAAGAATCTCTCAACCGATTGGGTTTGAATATTATCGTCAAAAGTTGCTTCTACAAGTTTTTCAAAGCAACAACCACGGTGCGAAAAGCCAATTCAACGTACAACACTGAAACTCCAATGCTTTGTTTCGCCATTAATCCGGAAGAAAAGCGTAAAATTATTGGCGACACATTTTTAAAAATTGCCAACGAAACTATGCGCGAGTTGAATTTGGATCCAAAGAATGTGTTCCTAGCACAGGGAACACTGCGGCCAGATTTAATTGAATCAGCATCAGATTTGGTTAGCAAGAATGCTGACACTATAAAAACGCATCACAACGACACCGAACTCGTTCGTCAACTGCGTGCTGCTGGACGTGTGGTTGAGCCACTGAAAGATTTTCACAAAGATGAAGTGCGTAAGCTTGGCCGTGACCTTGGCTTACCAGATGCTTTGGTCGATCGACATCCATTTCCAGGACCTGGTTTGGCTATACGAATTTTGTGCGCATCAGAACCATACATGGAAAAAGATTTCGCTGAAACTCAGGTATAACATATAAAATTTGCAATGAATTCATTTCTGGTTTGTGAATGATTCCATTTATCTAATGTATTGTTTGCGCATGTGTTACACAGGTTATTGCTCGTGTAATTGCCGAATACTATTCCAAGTCACACAAAAATCATGCACTACTCAACCGTGTTACGAACGCAACCACACCAGCTGAACAAGCGGCATTGGAAGAAATTTCGAAGAAAATGAAAATCACTGCAACTTTACTGCCAATTCGAAGTGTTGGTGTACAGGGTATGTTGTTTATCGATTCATCTACAATTGTTTTCTACGTGAGATATTATTCTGATGATTTACTCATTTATCTATTGTGATGGCCTGTACACCATATATACAGGTGACTCCAGATCGTATAGCTACGTTCTAGGTCTATCGACGGAAGATACACCTGATTGGAAAGACATGCTATTCTTGGCCAAACTTATCCCGCGCATTTTACATAATATCAATCGTGTTTGCTACATTTTCGGTGGTTCAGTTCAGTTCCCGATCAGCGATATTACTGAAACGAAGATTAGCAAATATTCATTGGCCCAGCTAAGGCAAGCCGATCACTTGGCGAATTCAGTAAGTTTGAACCGCAGATGATCAACACATACCTAGATTTAATTTAGATCAGCTTATAATATATCGATATTATTTATAGATTTTACACTCGAGTGACTGTATGTCAAAAATTTCACAAATGCCTGTCGTGTTGATACCAATTCACTTTGATCGCGACCCAGTCAATCGAATCCCATCGTGCTCTCGTTCGATCGTTCTGAGACCATTCGACACAAATGATTTCATGACCGGTGTTCCGATAGTTCCGGGATCAGACAAATTGCCGCAAATGGTAACTCTCACTCTCACTTACAGAACATCCATTACGTATTGAGGAATTGTCAAATAATATTTGTTTGTTTCACACATCTTAGGTCATAGACAAAATGGTGCGAGCGATTTCCGGAATTGATGGCATAACTCGTGTTCTGTACGATTTGACTTCAAAACCACCAGGCACCACTGAATGGGAATAGAATATTGCGATATTGCGTTTTTTCTGTTAATTAATATAAAATCGAAGATGCATTTTCACGTGAAAATAAGTTGATATTATAACTTATTTATGAAAGGCTGACAAATTTGGTCATTAAGTGAACAGAGTAATGAAATGTATGACATTGATGTGGAAAAAGAAATCGATGATAAAAAAAACTTATCATTTCAAGTAACAAAATAATTGAACAAAGTAAATACAAACCAACTGCTGCAAACCAATTGTCGAGTCAGCAATTTCCCAATTATCTGATGCTAACCAATAAACATTATTTTATTACCATAAATTTAGCGCTTTTTGACTATATGAATTCACCAGAGTAAAACGATTTTCGTCTTCTGTCTTTCTCTTTCCCTCTCCTCCTTCTTTTTGAACCTATTTCTATGTTGAATTAAATGACTAAAACAAGAATGTGTATGATTTTGTTTCAATTTATTGATGCATTTTGAATGATATTACATATACGAAATTTTGAATGGTTGTCAATGAGAGCAAGGTTCACTCACTTATGTGCATGAATTAGATTTTTTCTTTGTACAACGAGAGAAGTAAAACTATTTTTCCAATGGAGCATAATTCAGCAGTTTTTCGATAAGATCCACATGTCCCAAGAGCATTCGTCGACAACAGTATCGCTTCAGGCCAAGTGCGTCGAGAGCATCACCTTCCGTATATTCGGCTTGCAGCAAACCCAAATATGCTTCCCATTTATTGCCAATGACTTTACCGCAAGTAAAGCAACGAATTGGAATAATCATCCTCGCCTTTTATTTACTCTTCCAACAAAAATAAGTATGATAAACGATGAATAACAACTTGAGTGTTTAAGTTTTGTTGTGAAATTCTAAGACGTGCACCGCCAGAAATGAAAATGCGTTTTGTACATCTGTCAAATGTGCGTCTCCACAAATGGCATACATGCTGCTATAGAAATGTATATTGTTCTTTTGTCACATAACAACATGTGGTGTGTTGCCAGATGCAAACTTCTATGTGCCGAGATCATAGCTTACACTAATCAATTTTCAGAAATGAAATAGTCTATTCAATTTTGTAATAAATCTTTTTATTTCCATATCCTATTTTAACGAAAATATGTTGAATATGTATATTGTATAATCCACTTAATTATAATAACAATTGCAAACTCTGCATTTTCTGGTGAAGAAAAATATGTGCGTCATTGAGTCGATATAATGTCCCAAATACCATTCACCAAAGTCATAACAAATTTCGATTTCAATTCAAAATACATAACACCGGAAACGTTTTTGGAAATCATTTAAATACGCGTGGCTATAGCACTTTCAACTCAGTCTGAAATTATATTTCAATCAACGCACTCATACATCAAATCAAGAGTTTCCAACCGCTGTAATAATGAAATCTGTTGTCACTTTGCTTTTCTTCTTCTGCTGCTGCTGCTGCTTTTTCGGATATAGTCTGACTGCTCAAGCGACATCGACCGTCAAAGAGACCATGGATTTGGAGTGGAATAAGCTGAAATCATTGCTGCCTGTACCAATTGATCCATTGAAATTGAACCCAGTGAACCAAACCTTCTGTACTTGTGGAGTTTTTCTGAGCGGACAATTCAAAAAAGGATCGAGCGAACCACCGGTGGGTCATCCAGCGTTAATGCATGAACAAGACAGCATGTTCCCGTGCACACAAATCGGAGCCAAACAATGTTCAAACAAGTGCTTGGAAATGGTAAATAGCTTCTGTTTATTTTCAATTTTATTTCAGCAAAAACAGTTCAAGAACTGAAATTTTGATATCCAACTGAACCAAAACATATGATCTTATTTTATCAATTTGATTGTTCATTTTCAGGTTGCAAAACATTTGCCCAACTCTCCGACCATCCTCTGCGGAAGCATCGACCGTGATGTATTCAGAGAACGCGCCTACTTGTTCATCCAAAACTGTAACGGCACATGGGTGAACACCAAATTATCGGCTGGACGAGAATTTTGCTGCAAAGATGGCTCTCCATACAAATGTCCAAACAATTTGATTTGAAACACGTCACTCAACAATTAATTTAATTTAATTTAAGTAAATTTTCAATAACTATAAGCAAATACAAGCCACATTGTTTTAGTTTTGTTTCTGTTGTTGAATAAATGTTTACATCAAATTTACCGCCACAGCAAACACTTTGAGTTTTCTTTCTTTTTCTGTGTAGAATGTCAATTTTTCTGACATTTAACATAACCTCTATATTTTGCTTTTGTTTTGAATATGATAAGTTTGAATGACAGGTGTAAATAAAAAGCGTATTTTAGTATCTAGGCCACTATGCAGGTATTACAGCGAATATTTGCCGTTCAAAATACAAAATGCTTGCGTGGTATGCTACGACATTTTTGTTACAAGCCTATCAAAAGACCCACGTTAAACATACCGGCAAAAAGTAGAGTTGCAGCACAGGCTGATGCTGAAAAAAATCAATCTCTTTCGAATGTCCTGAAGACGCTTATTTCCGCAACGGGCCCCATATCAGTAGCAGAATATATGAAACATGTTTTGACAAATCCCAATAGTGGCTACTACATGTTGAAAGATGTGTTTGGCGAAAAAGGGGATTTTATAACGTCTCCAGAAATTAGCCAGATATTCGCTGAGGTAAGAACGGAAAATTTGAGTCGAAGAAATAACCAAATGAATCAAAATAAAAATTTCAGCTGGTAGCCATTTGGTGTTTGTCGGAGTGGCAAAAGTGTGGATCACCGGGACCGCTACAGGTGGTTGAACTTGGCCCTGGCAGAGGCACCCTGTCACAGGATATACTTCGAGTCTTTGCACAATTTGGTTTGTCTGACAAGTTTTCCTTGCACCTGGTTGAAGTTAGTCCATATTTGAGTGAATTGCAAGCAAAACGTCTTTGCTGTCAGCACACTGAAACCAAAAAAGGAGATCTTGATTCAGTTCCGTACTACCGTAAGGGCGAATCTGTGTCGGGAATCGAAATATTTTGGTATCGTGAAATCAAACACGTGCCAAAATCATTTTCGATTTTCTTGGCTCATGAGTTTTTCGATGCTTTACCCATTCACAAATTTCATCGGACCGATGATAACAGTTGGCAGGAGATTCTAATCGACACAGACAAAACAGAAGAGAACCATTTTCGATTTGTGACTTCGAATGCAAAAACAACAATGCTTGGCCTATTTTTAACACGACCCTGGATCGATAAAGACGTCCAACTCCCCAACGATATCGAATACTCAGCGGAAACTGAGCAGACAATTGATGTGATGGCCAATCGTATCGAAGAAAATGGAGGATTTGCCCTTATAATGGATTATGGTCACTCTGGCGAAAAAGGTGATACGTTTAGAGTGAGTCAATTACATTTGAGTATTAAATAAAATCTCTATAAGTTGACGGTATTAATGATCAACAACTTGCTAATAGGCGTTTAAGAATCACAAACTACACAATCCCTTGGTAGACCCTGGAACAGCCGACGTGACAGCTGACGTAAATTTTGCACATATCAAGATGATTGCAGAGCATAATAACCGAGTTGTCACATATGGTCCAATTGAACAAAAAGATTTCCTCAGTCGAATGGGCGGTGAGACACGCCTTAAAAATCTAATGGACAAAGCAGCCTCTACGAATGATGCAAATTTACTAAAGTCTGGCTATGATATGTTGACGGAACCATTGAAGATGGGTTCACGCTTCAAATTCTTTGCAATGTTCCCAAAGATTCTCGAAAATCATTTAAAGAAATTTCCTGTAAATGGGTTTTCCGTGCCGAGCAACAAAATCAGTTAGTTTTCATTTTCAAATAAGAAAGTTTAATTTTATAATTCAATTGAATTGTAATTTTTCTTGTTTTTTTGTTTCATAATATATTTAAAAATTTCGCATTTTGATAGTGTTTGAACTTATGCGCGCATTTTTGAGGTTATGTGCAAATGACAGATGAATCAATGAACTGTGTTTTTTTCGAAGTCGAAAAATGCTTTCGGCGCTGCAATCGTTGAGGTATTTGTTTTTGTTTTTCATATTGCGTAGATTCTTCTCGATGTACAACGACATAGCAATCGAATAAAAGAAGAAGAAGACACTAATCAAAGTAGTCAAATTCTTTAGGAAAAAAATATCAAGAATATTCATTATCAACTTATTCTTAGCGATTTGGAATCGAAGAAAAATACGTAAGTAGAAATCGAAAGAAAATGTTATATCATTTTGAATAAATGAATTATTCCGAAAATATTCATAAGTATCGATTGCCAAAAAGACATACGCCTAAAAACATGCCGGCAAAATGTGCACATTCATCAAATTATTATTTTTTCGTTGATTTTTCTTTTTCTTGAAGCATTTCACGTGAACATGTCTTGCCCAATCGGTACTGATGAAATAAATAAGCTAAAGCTGTTTATCGGCTTTTGCTCTGAAAATCCCAGTATTTTGAATTTGCCTCAGTTGGAATTTTTCAAAACATTCGTCGAAAAACTTGGTGGCCAAATTCCGACTGGGGATCCTGGAAACTTCTCCGGATCCGCAGATGAAAAGTGAGTACGAATAAATATTAACTCATTACAATTAACAATCAATATTATCTTGACGTTAAAAATGTTGTTGCGCAATAAAGAAACATGATAGAGTAGCTTTTATTTACTAGTACATAGTTTATTATGTTGTTATCCAAAACAAAAACAGACCAAGTGAACAGAAGAAGCCGGAATTCACGCCCACGGCGGAGCCAGAAGTGGATGACCCTGAGTCAGATGTTGACATCGAAACTGATGGATGTGTTGAACCGGACAACGAACCTCCGCAACCAATGGGAGATGCTTCGAAGGAGCCAACAGATGAAGAGCGTGAACAGGCTAGTGATTTACGTGGCGAAGCAGCTGGGCATTTCAGCGAACAACGATACCAAGACGCTGTCACAAGCTACGAAAAAGCCATTCAATTGAATCCAACAAATGCACTGTTCTACGCTAAGCGTGGTCAGTGTTATCTCAAATTAAACAAACCAAATGCGTGCATTCGTGATTGCAGCCGTGCATTGGAATTGAACTGCGACTCGGCAGCCGCATACAAATATCGCGGTAGAGCCTATCGTTTGCTCGGAAATTGGGAAGCATCGGCAAAAGATTTGCGTCAAGCGTGCAAAATTGATTTTGACGAAGAAGCCGATGAGTGGTTGCGTGAAGTGCAGCCCAAAGCACAAAAATTAGAAGCACATAAAATTAAACAAGAACGTAAAAAGGCTGAAAAAGCAGAACATGAACGATTGGAACGCATAAAACGCGCACAGGAAGCCAACAAAAGGGCTGCCGAGGAACAAAAGCGTCAAGAACAAAGTTTTGGTGGTGCAGCAGACGATGGCGATGACGATGAAGATTTCGACCAAGCCGATCTGCTTAATGCATTCAAAGATCCAGAAGTAGCAGCAGCATTCCAAGACAGTAAGTACCAATGGTTTTATTTATTCTGAAAACTGATGTGCGCATCAACCGCGGTTGATTGATTTATTCATTTTGATACACTGTTTTTAGTCATGACGAATCCAGCAAACGTGGCCAAGTATCAATCGAATCCAAAAATTATGAAACTCATCACAAAGGTAAGCACTGGATAAGCACTTCTCGAATACATTTTTTGTACAATAAATCTTTTTGAATCCAAGGTTGGCTCGGCGATGGGAAATAAGATGCCAAATGCTTCAGCAGCTGGAGGCGGTGGTTTCCCTGGCGGTTTTCCTGGTTTTCCCGGATTTGGAGGTGGAGCACCGGGCTTCGGAGCACCAGGAGGGTTCCCGAATTTTACTACACCGCCACCACCAACATCGAACCCCAAACCAGACCTGCACGATGATGGCCTGGACTGAATCAGAACGCAAAAAAATGAAGTGCTTAAAAACATTTCATTCGTCGTTAGCATTTAGAAATGTTATTTCACAGATTTCAACTGAAACATTGGCTTAATTATATTAACATAACGGCTACTCGTTTTTTTTTTCATTCAAATACATTCATTTAAAAAAAAAATAACCAAGAGGTGCATTTTTTAATCCCAGCTCATAAAACTAAAGTATAGAGTCATAGTATCCGATTTGAAATAAGATTCAAGTCAAATGAAATAAAAAAAATTGAAGAATATATGAAAACTGTCTCTTTCACCTTCTTTTTCTTTTCCTTTTTCTATAACTCTGTTCACAGTTCATTGCCAAATTTATAGTAGGTTCGATGACCCGAATAAGGAGGAAGCTAATTTAGTCGACGAATATTTACGTTTGGACACGAGTTGTATATGTAATTGCAAGAAGAAGATTTATCTTATGAGTCTATTAATTTTCAATTTATTAAAAAAACGTATAGACATACGAATGCGCTACTATTGAATTGGTATACATTATACTCTATTGAACTATTATTTATTATGGCAGTTTTTCATCAGTTGCTTCTTGTTTTGCTATTCGTAAAAATATGTAAAATGAATAAATTTCGAGAATGGTACAAGTTATTTGAAACAGCATTGTAATTAATTTGGGTTGTAAGGAACAGTAAACTCTAAACTAACATTAAGTTCCTTGACACTGTCGACGCTAGTCGATGCTGTTAATCAATCAGATTGTAGTTGTTCTACTGATGGTAGTAATTATGTGGTGGATGAATCCGTTGTCTGCGTCGTGGCGCCTGTGAATGCTGTTGTTGCGGTAAATGGTAGCGTCGATCGGGGAAGAATCGACGACTTTCCGGAGCGGCGACCAATTCCGGTGGTGGTTGAACGGTTGGTGGTTCGTATCGTGGTCTCTCCTTGCTTCTCTCAATTCGACGGCAAACGGCGCATCGGCTGATCATTTTAGTGTGGTCCGCCTTCAATGTCTGTTGTGATGGTCTGCTGAATTGTTGACCTTCTTCGATCACAGCCAACCAAAATGAGGCGAGCTGATCATAATAGTTGCATTTACCATGTCCGTGGCATTCGATAACTGGTTGCGTTCGGAATTCTTCAAGACAAGACCCCGGTGATATTAGATTTTGACCAAATCCACCGCTGTTGTCAGTTGTTGACTGCAAAAAATAGCATTTAAAGTGAATTTATCGCAAAAAGTGGGTAGGAAACAAACAAGCTCACCATCAAATATGAGTATCCAGTCCACAATTCTTCCCAATCGGCCGGACAGTCGGGCAATTTCATTGACTGACTGTGAACGGCAATGATGCGAGTTCGTGTTTCGCACACTGAACATCTGGAAATATAATTTTGAATGTCGTTGGCTGGAATAGGATTCATCATCGGAAGCATGGGTTCTTCGGTGGACAACCACAAGCTGTCATCGTTGTTTTCTGCATAGCTACACACGTTATTGATATCACAGAACATGTATGGCATTGTTGAGAATCGAAGCATACAAGAACCGGCCAATCCAAGATCTTGACCAACGGCACGACTCGATCCGATCACACTTGCAAGTGAATATCCTTCCCATAGCTTCTCTGATCCTGGTGGACACTGCGGAATTTCTGTTTTTTGTGAATGGCGAGCAAATACGAAACCGCGTGATTTGGGCTGAGGTGGTATTGGTGCATCGTCACCTCGACCTCCCTTTGCTCCCGGATATCCATCTAATCCTCGCAATCCTGGTGGTCCACGTTCACCGGCCTCTCCTTTTGGTCCTGGTTCGCCCTCAAGACCTTGAATTAAAAAGGATTTATGCATAGTACATAAAATATATTCGAAAAGTGAAACGAAGTGAGTATGTTGATTAAGAAATCGAGTGCTTACCTTCTGGACCGGTTTCACCTGTGAATCCTCTTAAGCCCGATAGACCTTGATCACCTGGCGCTCCAGTGAATCCATCATCACCGCGTTCACCTTTTAAACCGGGTAATCCGTCGAAACCAGGCTCACCTCTTGGAGCCAATTCATATGGGAACGTATATCCGCGTTCACCTAAAAAAAACGTCGTATCAAAATGTGAAAATACAAGTTATTCTATTTAAATAGTACGTACTCTGAGGAAAGAGATTTATGGTTATGTTATATTTTTTGTTTTGACACTTATTTCACAACAAGAAACTCAAAACTTTGTGGTGATTTTCGGTACTTAATATATTTTGGCCGCTAAAGCACCACAAAGTTTTTTTTGACTCTAATCAAAACAAAAAGTATAACATAACCATAAATCTCTTTTCTCAGAGTAATATATTATTTTGAGTTATTTGATATGTCACTCGAATAAATCAAATTGTATTCGACTAGAATGTGTGAATATTTTTTTCTGTGCAAAGTGTGTTTCTACCTTTAATTCCCTTATCTCCATCTCTTCCATCAACTCCATGCCAGCCAATGTCACCCTGTGGACCGATCAAGCCAGATGCGCCTCTTGGTCCCGGTTTTCCCGGAAATCCGATATCACCTTGTTGACCTCTCAGCCCATTAATTCCGTCGATACCATCCAATCCTAATAAGTATAAATAAAATCGACGAATCAAAAGTATAAGTGAAGATATCTAATTTTGGTTGCTGAGATCAAATTTTTTAAATTGAGTCTTATAGTATTAGCTATTTACCTGGAAAACCTGCATCTCCTTGTTGGCCCTTCGGTCCAACAACCATGCGACCTACGATTAAAAGAATTCATTTTTGAAAACTGTCTTTGGGTCTGTATTTTTCAGAACAGAAAAAAAAACAAATTAACAAATTTTACTCGATACATACCTTGTGGTCCTCTTTCCCCTTTGAATCCGGGTTCACCTCTTTCTCCAGATAGTCCTTTCAATCCAGGAAGTCCATTGAGTCCAGGGGGTCCTTGATAACCAACATCACCAGCCTCTCCCTTCTGTCCGGGGTAACTTAAGCCCGGGAAACCAACAAGACCTTTAAAATCATAAGTTGAAGATTATAAATGTAAATAGTAAAAGTGTGTGAACAATCCTAAAAAAAGATATCCAATGGAAAATTAGAATTAAATAGAGTTTAGTTCATAATTTTTGTTAAGGTTAACATCCTCTTGAAAATTGACGATCAAATTAAACGAAATTCCAAAACTTACACAACCGTTAACACAAAAATTTTGGATCTGTTTTTTTAGAGAAATTTAGAATGATCAATCAAATTTCCACTCAGTTACTTTTAACCACATCGCTTCTCTATTTTTCTTTCGGGAGGTACCCTAAGTTTTTTTAATCAAAAGTCGATTTTTTGAGATTTTAAATTTAACCAATCGAATATGAGGGTAGAATCATGTGAAAACATCTCTCGATTTGATCATGTAAAAACCCAAAATGTTCGCAGGGGACCATACTAGAAGTTCAGAGGCAGCAAAGGTAGAAATTTTTTGCTTTTAGCTGTCAAACCGAAGCTCATGGTCGTGATTTGTTCATTTTGGTATGAAATTTGTCTTTTACATCTGGATCAATTTACACTAAATTTCATCCAAATTGCAATCTAAAAAGTGCCAAAATTTTTGTACGGGCTACAAGACACAAGTCAGAAACTGAACCAAAGTCCAACACCCACGGCGATGAAGCTACAACAACAATAACACGTATTTCCAATGTAAACATCCAGACGAGCTCTACTGACACGACGCTTGTGGTGATAGTTGAAGATTTCAATCACATAAGCGTATGCATCGCCTATATTCAAGTAGCCATTCGCGCAAACCGTATAAATCCAATGCTAGCGTGTCTGTATTGTGTGCATATATTGACCGCTCAACGTGTGTTATGTGTATGACCACTAGAGGCAGGTCGAATGTTGTCGTCAATATGGATAGCCGCGCCAACACGTGGGTGACTCGTAGACCGGAAAATGTCAAAAATGCCGAAAAATTGGCATTTAAGGGCTGATGTTTTGGTAACAGTTGTAGATATTGACGAGCCAAACAAAACCTTTTCATCAGTTTTTGCCGAAAATTGGGTGGGTTTTTTAACGAGGCGAGTTATACTAAATCATTGTAAATTATGAAAAATTGATGTAACAGTCTTGCACTATTTTCCGGCCAAACACTTATTTAAACCAGTGAGACCATGATTAAAAAAAGTAGTACTTGTGGCGGCACCTAGCGAGTCCATACAACTTTCATATAGTTTGTTTATTGAAAAAATGGAAGGGGAAAATGTGGTGGGGAAGTAGTTTATTGAATGTATATGCATACACGTTCCACTCGCCAGGGCTGGAATTCTAAGTCATTCCACCAAAATCGTTCGGAATTATTTTTTCCGTACGTAAGACTATATTGGAGTGAAAGAGAGAGATTCCACTAATTTTCAACATCCCATCCAAATTATTGCGATACCTATCACCCATCCTTTGAGTTATCGGAATAATTCCGATGGGATTTTGAAAATTAGTGGAATCTCTCTCTTTCACTCCAATATACGTACGAAAAAAATAATTTCGAATGATTTTGGTGGAACGACTTAGAATTCCAGCCCAGGAGGTAGTGTAAACTGACTTTTAGATGACATTCAATATTAAAATATACAAACATTGTCGCACTGTTTAAACCTCTATTATATTCAGCCAGAGCTTGGCGGTGTTGAATAAAAATTAAAAGAAATGAAACGGGTCGAAATGTTGCTATCAAAAATGGCTTACGAAAACACTGTTATGAAAAATTTGATATGGGGCCTGCGTCCTGATTTTATATGGTACCCCATATGCGTTCTTTGCGCCAAACCTATTTATTCGAGGTATATTTTACGAAACTGGCCGGGGAATTGGGATAAGGGACAAATTTTTTTTGGAGCAGTTTAAGTGGTACGATTTTCAATATACTTCAAATAAAATTTGTGAATACTTTCAAAAAGGGAAGAGTCTCATGAAAACCATGCGTATGTGGTAATTACCTGGTAGTCCATCATCTCCATAATCGCCTGGTGCTCCTTTAGCTCCTGGTAAGCCTTCCCGTCCAGGTAATCCATCAAGCCCCGGAGTTCCCGGTTCACCACGGTCAGCAAACGTACTGAGGTGTAAATGAATAATTAGTATATAATAAATAAATAAATTAGTAAATGGAAAAGTATTTTGAATGTTCAAAACAATTTCCAACATATTCGTTTAGTTTGAATCAATACATAGTACAAGAGACAACAAATGAAAGTCATTATTTACAAATTATGGATATATAATAAATGTCTTTTGTGTGTATATTGTATATGAATATTACCTAGCTGGACCACGAAGTCCTCTTAAACCTCTTTCACCCTGTTCGCCCTTTATACCTTTTTTTTATTATGAAGAATTCGGAATTATTTTCAGGTTTAAAAATTACTGTTTAAAATTGTTTTAGATGCTTTTTGATGACTTCCAATTTACCTGGTAAACCATCAAGACCGATTTCTCCTTGTAAGCCAAAGTCACCTCTTTCCCCGTGTCTTCCTCCAAAGCCCGGTTCTCCTACTTCACCTTTTCTTCCAAAACTACCTTGGAAGCCCGGTTCTCCTCTTTCACCCTTCTCACCTATTTCATGCATTGACGTCAACACATAAGTAAAACATTGATTTGCCTTATATAATAACATAACTCACCTGGAGCCACGTATGTGAAAGGAACAGCTCCAATTGATCCTGGACGTCCCCTTGGACCTTGTTCGCCCTTTTCCCCCTCTTCTCCCTGTGGTCCGACATCGCCTAAAATATAAAATACAAAGTTATTTGAGTCCTAATAAAGGGGTTGAGTCCGATTTAATATAATGCCTCCAGAGTCGCCCTCGGCGAGGCGTGAAGAGGCAGCACAACGGCTGCAGAGAACACTACGAAGAAAGTCTCCACGATTTTCATCGCCGATGTTGCAACAAAATTAAAGCACATCGGATGAATACTGCGTTTTGTGTACAATCTACCATCAAAACTGTCGCAGCATATGCAGCAAACACAAACGCTTCTTTTGTACCGCCGCTTCCTGCGATCACAATATGATAATTTTAACCGAAACGTGGCTCAAAAATGATATTAATGATGCTGAATTTTTTGACGATTTGTATTCTGTTTTTCGTAGGAATAGACTTTTTCCAGAGTGGCGGTGGTGTACTGATTGCAACCAAAAACGAAAAATTTGCCAACGGCATGCGCAGAATCGCTACCGATCCTGAAGTTTTTGTTATTTTTGTTGGTGATTTTAATCTGCCGCATGTGGAATGGTCAACCGACGATGACAATATTATGATTCCAACTAAATTCGCACCTAAGTCAACGGTCACTTTCATCTAAGGGCTTCAAGCGGGCGAACTATAGGGATATGAATGCACATTGCACACCTAGCAAATATCAACTTCACCGAATTATTCCATGGAAAGACTGACAATCACTTTGGAAGTGAACCTGCTGCACAAGACTTTGGACGTCGCCACTATCAAATTTGTGCCTACATACATCGTCAAATCGATATAAAAATGTCCATGGAAGAACAAATTCCTAATGACTTTGAAAAATAGGAAGAACAAGGCATGGAAACGCTACAGACGATCTATCACATCCGTATGCAAACCAATACAATTTCTGTTGATGATACTGCTTCTTCTTTTTCCCACTATGGACGCCTCCATTGTTACGGAAATGTTGAGAAATGAGTGCATTTAATGAAATGCCAATATCCGCGTAAGGCTATACTAAATAAATATGTTTTTAAAATTCGTTCTATGTAATATATTATAAATAAACATTTTTTCTAAGTATGCACCAAATTATCCATTAAAAATATATTTATCTATACCAATTTGATACGAATTTCAAAAACACATTTATTTAGCCTTACACGGATATTGGCATTTCATTAAAGGCACTCATTTTTACAACAATGGCGGCATCCGTATTGTGAAAAAGAAAAAGCAGTCCCGTTTAAGCAAACGCACACGGATGATATATTATCAGTCGTTTGAATGGAAATGTATTTTGACATCTTGCGATTTTGATAAACTCAACATGAAATTGTACGACGTGTGCAAGGTCAAAAATCCTAGAGGGGGGTAACATTTTTTGGCAGATGGGGGTCTAAAAATTGTGTCAATGGGTGTCGAAAAAAAAGTGAAGACCTAAAAAAAAAGAAAAAAGGTCCTCACTTTTGAAAATCGATTCTATCTAGTGTAAAACAGTCAAAATCGCTCGAAGGGGGTCTCCATTTTCAAATCCTAGATGGGGGGTAAAACCGGAACCCCCCTTGCACACGTCTGGCTACGATGATTCAACGACTCAAGATGCTCAGCGATCGTTCAGCGAAGAGTCACAGCAAACTGAGGAATTCCAGATCGACATCAATTTTGTGCTTGAAAAGCTACAAATTTTCAACGAATCATTGTCGACTGGCCATCGAGTGTGTCACCCATCTTCAAAAAGGGAGCGAGATCAAAGATTCAAAACTATCCTTGCATTGCTAAGCTCCGCACCGTGGCGAAGTTCTTTGAGCATTTGGTGAACGTCAAACTTCTGTCACTGGTACAGGACAAAATCACCAAAAATCAACACGGCTTTATGAAATCCAGATCTACTGCATTCAATCTCACCGAATTTACCTACTATGTCCAGAGAGGCATAAATTCTGGTGCACAAGTGAACGTTCTATACACGGACTTCAGTAAAGCGTTTGACAGAGTTAACCACAAGAGATTGATTCTGAAACTCAGATCGTTCAACCTGCCAGATAATCTTCTTGCTTGGGTGGAATCATACCTGTCAAACAGAACGCGATTCGTTAAGTATGGGAGCAGCGAGTCTAACGAATTCAACGAAACATCCGGCGTACCGCAAGGAAGTCATCTCGGACCAATAATATTTTTGTTGGTCATCAATGACATAAGGGACGAAATGGACGACGTATTCTTCCTCCTTGATCCCGATGATGTGAAAATTGCCAAAATCATCCATTCGAACACGGATGCTGAAGTCAAATTCAAACAAGTATCGGACCATAAAGATCTCGGATTCATCATTGACCAGAAGCTCAGCTTTGTCAAGCACTTTGACGCTATAACATCGACAGCAGCCCTTGGGTTTATCAAGAGATTTTGCTACGACATTACCGATGTTCAAACGCTCAAAACATTGTATTACGAATTGGTTCATTCTCATCTTGAGTACTGTAACGTTGTATGGCTACCAACTTATGCCGTACATATTGACAAGATCGAGAGCGTTTTGAGAAAATTCACACAGTTTGCCCGAAGGAATATCGTATAGCGGCCAACGGATACAAAAAGCGACTTGAAGCTCTGAGCAATGTCCGGACACTTTTTATCCGAAACTTGTCCGAAAATGTCAATGAAACTAAATCTGTCGTTTCGACACGGACGGACGGACAAAACATGATCGTATCTATTCATAAATTAGGTTATTCTTTTGCCTAGTCGAGAACCAAACTATACCCTAAATTGTATAAAAATCAAAAGATCATGTTTTCCCTGACTCTTGGAGTTATTTCCCTGTAAAATCAGCCAGTCTTTTGGCGGTGTTAATAAATAAATAAATAAATAATAAATACTCACCAAAATCTCCTTTTAAACCTGGGCGACCAGCAAAACCATCATCGCCTTGAGGCCCCTGAGCTCCAGGTGTACCGGACTCACCTCTCGGTCCAGCCAATCCTGGTAATCCTTTCAAACCGTTTCTACCTCTATGACCCGGCATACCGATCATGCCTACAAATCAAACATTCGATTATTGTGATTATTATCGTTTATTTTTTTTTCAACTTTTCAAATTTATTTTGATATTACATATTCCGATCCCTTGCTTTTTTTACCTTCATCTCCTTTTTCGCCTACTACGCCGAATTCTCCAACGTCTCCATGTTCGCCTTTCAAGCCTGATATTAAACATTTTTTAGTATTAGTGTAGGATAGATAAAAATGTCAGTATAATTTTCATTTTATATTGCATATTTTGTACATACCTGGGAAACCATCATATCCAAATCGGCCTGGTACACCAGCTTCTCCTTTCGATCCTTCTGCTCCATCATATACTTAAAGTCGAATAAAATCAATTTTTATTATATAATTTCTATTTATATAGGAGTAAAACCAACTATCAGCTAAAATTCAGCTCATCGTTCATTTATTTGTAAATCCAATACATGGAAGTGTATTACCGCCTGGCTACTTACCTAGACCTGCATCACCCTCTTCTCCTTTTGGGCCCATTGGGCCGGTTCTGCCATTGTATCCGTGTGGGCCAGTTAATCCGGGCCGACCCATTTCACCTTTAACACCTTTAAAAGAAAAACGAATGGACATCAAACTTTCGAATTCTAGAATCGTTGAAAATACGAACGCAGCCAACTAACCACTGAATGATGCTTCTCCCTTTTGACCAACCGCACCGAAGTAACCGTAGTCTCCTCTTTGGCCTAAATTTAAATTTCAAGTTTAATCCCATCAGAATATAAATCATATTTTAATATAAATGAATCCTATCTATATCTTCATGAAGATTTATTTCCAAAAGATTGATCTTAAGAGTTTTTCTACACACGCTCAATAGGCATATCGTGTATAGTAGTATAGTAATAGTATCTATCTTTTTATTATTTTATAGCACGTCCTACATACCTTTTCTTCCGTCAATACCATTGAATCCGTCTCTTCCTGTAGGGCCTTGTAGGCCATCTTCACCCTTCGGTCCCTGTAACCCAGGAACACCTAAAAAGGTTTAGTAGAAAAACATAATTTGTTAGTTTTTTCTTGACTCATTTGTTTTGTTTTTCTCAAATATTTTACCTCTTCTTCCAGTTAGGCCGGGCCTTCCAATGAACCCAACTTCTCCGCGGTCCCCTTCTTCCCCATCTGGGCCACGGATACCGAACATCCCTTTGAAATTTTTCGTCGAAACGAAAAGAATATTATAATTTTTACTTTTTATAGCAATTCAAGTGTTACAACAAACAAATCATATCGACTAAATCAAAATTGATATTGAAATATTTGAATCAAATTATACCTGGTGGTCCAAACGATCCTGGCTCTCCGATGTCTCCTTCATCACCCGGTCTACCTGGCTCTCCAACATCACCTTTGATCAAATGTATTAATTAGAAGAATGTCTTCTTTTGCAATGTGCAAAAGTATATCGCAAACCGTACAGATGAACTCACTATGATGAGCAAACATCTGTTACAAAAGCTGACGTCATTGTAACAAATTCACACATAGGCAACAAAATTCAAATCGTTCTTAAATTTGACTTTTGTTATATTATTATTTCTTCTCTACATAAATTCAACACCAATAATAACACTACGACTTTTTATGTTACCTCTTATTCCAGGCGCTCCTGGCAGTCCTGGCCAGCCGATATCTCCTTTATGGCCTAGAAACAATTGATACAAAATACAAAATGAAATAAATCAAGACTTTGACTGATCAATTGTTCTGAAATTACCTTTTTCTCCATACGGTGCCGGTGCTCCATCGCGACCTGGCTCTCCGGGTAGACCCATATCACCGTATACAATGTCACCTCTTTGACCTTTTTCCATTGAAGAATGAAAAGAGCAGCACATTTTCAACTGTTTGATTTGCATTTAACTCTGATTTGGAATTGTACTGGAACATTTCTTGTTCTGTATTTACCTTTGATTCCTTCTAAGCCTTGCCTTCCTTGAGGTCCAACAACTCCGGTTTCACCTTTAACACCTGCACAGACAAGAATGATGTGTGATCTCGCACAAATCAACCACCAATTACATAATTTTTTTCAAGTACGTTACCTCTTGGGCCGGGAGCACCTCGTAATCCTGCAGGTCCTTGGAAACCTTTATCACCTACTTCTCCATCATCACCGGTGACACCTAAAATTTACAACGTGTCATTATAATGGTTATTAAAGTGAAGTCTTACAAACTTATACAAAATTGTTACAGTGTATAAACTAAGTTCAATAATTATAATTATTGAAAAAATATAATAAAAATAAAGAGGATCATGATGAATCATGATATATTCTTTTTCCATTTTCAACCAAATGATCATAAAACTACCCAATTATGGTCCATTGGTTTGGTCCAAAATGTTTATTGTATGTTGTAATGTGATAAAATTACATGCCTTGTTCACCCCATTCGCCCATCAAAAGGCCGCTACCAGGTTCACCACGAGACCCTTTCACTCCTTTAAGTCCATCTATTCCGGACTCTCCGTCAATTCCTGGCAATCCACTAACACCGATTGGACCGTGATTACCCGGTAAACCTAAGTTGGGAAAAATTCAAGAAACCGGTTTTGAAATCTAATTTGAAATGTTCGAATTGAAATATTTTAATTTTGATATTTTTCAATAACACAGTTTTATTATATATATTTTGCATAATCGACGTTCAAACGCTCAAAACATTATATTACGCATTGGTTCAGTCGCACCTCGAGTACTGCAACGTTGTATGGCTACCGACTTATGCCATACATATAATAATAGACAAAATTGAGAGCGTTTTGAGAAAATTTACCCAGTTCGCCCGAAGAGAACACCGTACAGCGGTCAACGGCTACAGTATCACCGACTACAACAAACAACTTGAGGCGTTGAACATGACATCGTTGGAGCGTAGGAGAGTGAATGCATAAATTTTATTCATATACGACATCGTGAATGGGATCGCAAATTGTCCCAATGTACGCAACGACATCACGATTGGAGAGAGCGTACGTATTTTACGGCACACAGAATACCTCAAGATCAAAGACAAGCTCATGGACAAGCAATTCAGAGCGCAAGTGCCTCAAATGTGCAAGTTTGCAAACAAAGTGGCCGATCAGTTAAAAAATCAACCAGCCGTACAAACTTCATCTCATCGTTACGCAGCGAACGAAACCAAAAATTTGATATAAAATATTGACAAATTTTCATCTTACATCCCTACAGAATGTATAGGAATAATGATGTTTATCTGTAATTTTACACAAACTTTGATTTAGTTAGCAACATTGACTGTGATATAGCCATCCTTTGATTTGGTGATAAACTTTTGACCTGTTATTACTTTATAATGGAAACTACCTTTCGTGTCAATGTATTTGCGAAAATCAGAATACTTTTTTATGTCTTTAGGTCTTTACTAAATTGTAAATTTATATCTACCAACAGGGACTTGTTAGATTGGACGTAAAACTTTTCTTCAATTTATCACTTCTTTAATAAGTTGAATGATGACTTTTGCAATCATTAAGGCCGACACCAATATGTTCAACGCTCCAGTTAGTCTATCTTTTCTTAAACGCGTTGTTAGATTATCTTGAACCGTTGATAATTCGGCTTCCTACTCATTTCCATGTATTGGTTAGGTTTTTTTGTGTTGAATTTTATAGACCAAACCCTAATTCCATTAGAGAAAGACAACTAAGTATTGTATGAAAATACTCTGTATTGTACAAAAACGAAAAGATCAGGTTTTTCATGACTGTAGGAGTCGTTTTCCTGCAAACCAATATATTCAGCCAGTTTTTTGAAGGTGTAAATAATATAAATAAATAAATTAATTAATTAATCGGCACTGTCAAAACCTATAATTGTCTTATTTTTATGTAATGATGCTTTTCAAACAAATTTGTTACTAAAAAAAAACACCTACTAATGGTTGAATTCAATATGCTAAACGCCTTACCTCGGTATCCTTTGTTTCCTTCTGGGCCTTCTCTTATTTCACCCGGTTGACCTACATCACCCTTCGGTCCTAAGAAGAATTGAAGAAAAAAGATTAATTATATTGTATAACAATGGCTATTTTAAGCTGCAGTTGTTGTCTTTTTTTGCAGTTGTGATTTCAAAAATGCAGTTATGAATTTCAGAAAATGCAGTTGTGATTATTCATTGAAACGGCAATTTTAGTAATATTTTAACCTTCTTTTATCTTTATTTGTTGAGAATTTCGGCTCGCTTCGCTCGCCAATATTTTTAACACTGCACGAAATGTATTTGTTTGACTACTGAAACAAATTATAGGGAATTCAAATTTTTTTGACAAAATGTTTTGTTTTTTAAATTACATTATTTCAAGCTTTTTTCGTATAGTATTTTCTGGGTCTTGAACAGAATTATTAGTGACTTTAGATTTTATGCTCATATTATTTAGTTAAATCAAACCAGAGACAGTATATTTTTAAAAGAAGTAGTAAAACAAAGATCTCTCTCATCATATTCGCGATAAACAGACACACCAAAAATTTATATTTTCCATGTTCTATTGAAGCGACGATTCATATTTTTTCAACATTAAATATCATGTTGCGCTTCAGTTCAAACACTTCTGTATTCCCATTTTTGTTCCAACCGACACATATGCACTAGAAAAACAGATTATGGGACATTTTTGTCCCCTCAAAAAAGAAACATTGCAACATTTTTAAAAACTGCAGTTATGATTTTTTGTTAAAATAGCCATTGTTGTATATATATACAGTGGAACCTCGATTATCCGTCAGGCACCGGACCAGCGCCTTGACAGAAAATCGAAAAAGACGGATAATCGAGATTCTCATAAAAAAGGCAAAGTAATCAAAATTTCCATACTTTCTAATTAGTTTATGATGAAAAACAGGGTGATGTAGAAAATATATGATAGATATGAGAACAGATTTGGTGCATTGTCCAATATATTGTATATACGAGAAGTGTACCGAAAACGCAAAGCCTCTGATTTCAAATCGTATTGTGCGAATGTACAAGCGGCACACAATTGATTTTAATTATGAAAGTTAGTTGGCAACTTTATTCGTATGTTCAAGTGAAATAAACTGAAAAATGAACTATAAAAAAACTTTTCCACCTTGAAAAGGTGTGACGGTTAACGGAGGTGACGGATAATGGGAGGACGGATAATCGAGGTTCCACTGTATATATAAGTGCTCTAAATGTCAAAGTGAAGAAATTCAAGTAAGCGCGGGTAAACGGCGGGAGTAACTATGACCCTCTAAATCTCTAGCGTACTTCAATTTCATGCATTTGGTCCATTTCGGAAAATTTCGATAATGCCAATTCATAAAAATCATTCATAATTATTATCTAAATAAAATTCAATCCAGATTTTACTATACTGTACCTGGCTTTCCCGGAAATCCTCGGTATCCCTTTGGTCCCCGGAATCCTTGAATACCTCTATCGCCTACCGAGAATATTTTGTCAATTAATCATTGTAACTAGGCTGGTTTCAAACAGAAACAACACACTTGTTCCCCCTAAAGACTCTTTAGTAAAGAGGTATATTCAAATGTATTTGGAAATGTGGCCACCTTAGTTACGTAAAGTTGTCTTTCGCAAAAAGCGTACAAGCTATACGGTTTATTTACGTGAGTTGTGCGTATATTTTATTGTAACAATTCTGAAAACGCACACACATACAATGTAGCCACAAATCAATAATCCTCTTTAAAGCTATATTACCTTTGTCACCCAAGTCGCCGTGAGCTCCTGTTAAATCTATTAAATTGAAATTTTGATCAAAAACGTGTTTTTCTTTCATTTGAATTACTTTTTAAAAAAAATTACCCATTAATGACTCAGGTAAATCGCCCAAAGGCCCTTTTCTGCCAACCTCACCCTGCTCTCCTTTCACTCCTCTGAAAAATAGTGAAACAATGGACAATATTACTTTTCCGTACACACCGTGTCAAGGGAAAGTATAGGAATTGGTCCCGAAAACTTTTTTCGCAAAATTGGTTTAGATCATCATAAAAACTCATGAAACGTGTAGAATACCACTTTTTGAAAAACTTTTCCGTTCGTGTGTCGTCGTCGTTGGTGTTTGTTAACACGATAACTCAAAAAATAATTGAGATAGTCAAAATCTGGAAATGCTAAAAGTTTTGTATCCAAAAAACTTAGTTTAAGTTCGAAGATGGGGTACTTGCCCTAAGAAAAAACTCGAAAAAATGACAATTTTGTATGGGAGGTACCCGTAAATCGACTCCGAATGTTTTCCAACTTTAAGATTCTGAAAGTTTCATGTTGATCGCATTTAAACAAGTTTGATTTGTAGCCCTCAATTTTTGTAGAAATTTCATTGGAGAAAATTGAGAACCAAAAACCAAACTTTCGACAATGCGATCAACATGAAACTTTCAAAATCTTATTATTTCGCCAAAAAATGAAACCTCAGAAAGTTTTGAGCCAATCGGAGTCGATTTATGGGTACCTTCTATGCAAAATTGTCGAAATTTCGACTAAAATTGGCCGATTTTTCACTGCCTTTATTTCAAGAAAATTCACAGAACAAACCAAAAGGACGGGCAACGGTACGGAAAAGTTCGGGATTACGAATGTAATTCTTTTTATTTAATTTAATTTTATTCATATTCTGTTACAAAAAAACGAAAAACATATTTAAATTTTATTCGCGAACTTTTTCGGTAGAAATGTTGTTCATTATGATAAACGTTCGTGAATAAAAGAACATTCCCCAACTCGCCAACTTTACACTATCTCATTATTATTCTGCACCATACAGCGTTTCTTCGCCAGAGTTGGTTTATTTGATATAAATATTTGGTTGCATATTTACAATATTTATAATGTATTCATTGTTTCTTTAATTTCTCCAAGTTCTAATTCTTCTGAAATAATCGGTTATTCTCTGTTTGATAGTATCACTTCAATCGAAAATAAAACAGCTTAAAACGGTCAAATATTTTGAATAAGGGCTCTATCGTAATGGAAATTAAATGCGAGCGGAGACGGTGGATTGGAAAATCGTGTAGAAAAACTTTTTAGATGGGGATGGTTCTTTAATTATTTTTTTCGTTCAATAAAATAAAATTAAATATTGTTATAGAACTGATACAGCAGTTCACACAGTAATTTTTGACAATATATTGATTTCCAACAATCCAATATTCAGTATTCTTTGGAACATTTTTGGTATAAAAGAAACAATAAAACATAAATAACTCACTTGATTCCCTTTTCACCTTCGTCTCCTTGCAAATAGTGTTTTGGTGTTCTGTCTGGTTCACCTGTAGCAAACAAATGGTACGTCCTTAAATATTATCCTTCATATTCTGCCATACAGAAGCTTAATCCTCTAGTGCATACAACCAAATTTAGATGGGCAACATTCGAACGCCTGTATAATGTAAACCGTACGTAGTCCTCTATAATTTTCTCTTTTGCACTATTCGTTGACATCAAGCGGTTGTTGTGTTATAAACAAGAATGTGCGCAATTTTTTTTTTGGCAAAATAAATTATTCGCTTTCAAAATTAGATAAAATGTTGACACTTTTAAACAATGGATTTGATTGTTCTCTGATTCATGTCTATCGCATTTCCTGACTAAACCTAAACCATGAGAAATCCAGGATTATGAATATTTTTTAATTATCTATGGCTAAAAATCAACCAAGTACCAGTACTCCCAGCCCTAGGAAAAATGAATGCACTAGAGGGTTAAGGCTACCTATATTTATATTTTTAAATGCTAAACCGTTGATCGAATTTTCAAGTACTAAATGCCTATCTACCTTGTAAATGTATATGATTGAAATACCCAAATTCTTTTCTCAAAATTTTATTACACCGGGACAAAATTCGACGGGTTTTTAGAATCATAACACAATTTGGATTGAATAACAAAGTGAACATGGAAAAAATGCATTTTATATGTGTACATTGTAAACGAGGGAGTATATAGACATATGCACAAGATGATGAAATATCCAAATATTGTTCGGTGGTGTGTCACCATCGTCCGTATGCAAACTGAGGAATGGTACTGCTTCTTCTTCTTAACACATACTGTAAGTCGCCATATTGGAAGAAATAATGATAATACACTATAAATATTCAATATAGCCGCTTCCATTGTGCACGATTATGTGTACGATAGTGTGCAGAAGAAGTAGTAGCACAAAAAGTGTATTGGTTTTCATACGGATGGTCACCAAGAACTTGTATTGCAACAAACTCGCATTGTAATAGACAGTAAATTTCATCACTGACTACGTGGTCCACCAAAAACGTGTTGTCTATTTGCACTGTAATCGATGCCTGCCAGCAACGAACGAGTGCACCGCTGTAGTTACAACTGCAAACACTATACACAATGATCTGATATAGGAGTTTGTGTATTGTATTTAGTTCAACTTCTTGCTACAAGTGGCGCTGATGTCAAATGTCAGAAGAAATTAAGCGACCAGATGGCAGGCATTGACTGTAATTGTATAATGTGTATGTTTTTGTATAAACATACCTGGCAATCCGTCAAGTCCGTCTCTTCCATTTATTCCGTCGCGTCCAGAAACTCCCTAGGAAAGTTCGGAGATAATATAATTTAACAGAAATTTTTTTATAAAACCAACAAAAATGGGTGGGATATTTCTCAGTTCAGATGAGTTTTGGACAGGGAATGTCTGCACGTAGATTTATTCAAATAAATTAAAAATATCAAATAAATTTATCTGATATTTTTCATGCGTTGCGTTGTTGTAACGCATCTGCAGTACAAGTTCATATTGTCTTCCGGATTTGCCAACTCATTCCGAGCGGATTCCGGCAAAAATAATGCGATTTAGCATCCTAAATGGATGCGTGCTGGATGACTTCACTTCCAGAATACATTCGACCAGGTCGGATCCACCTGCTCCACAAGTTTCACTTCCAGCTCAGGCCAAATTTGAGTTGGCAAATATTTGAATAAATCTACGTGCAGACATTCCCTGGTTATAGAAGAAAAAAATAGCAATGAAAAATTGTCTATAAAAACTCAAGCAAAAACTAACTGGAAGTCCATCGAGACCCGCTTCACCCTTTGCTCCTTCTAATCCAGGATAACCGGGCAAACCAACTAAACCGATCTCTCCATCTTGTCCTTGCAAGCCTGCAAATTAAGATCGGTACGTTGGTGGAAAAGTTTTTACGACACTTGCGCAATAACAAAGTACAAACCTGGATAACCCAACTCTCCCTTATCTCCTATTTCCGGTGTAATTCTTTCTCCAATTTCAAGGATCAGACCTGCAACGAAGACATCACGTTTTTGGAAAATCAGAGAAAAAGGAAAAGCGAAATCAAGATAAATATATATATATATATATATATATATATATATATATTAATCTCAGCAAAATGAATTAGGAGTTCTAAGTAAACAGTATTATTCATCTAACCTTTTTGTCCTTTCGGTCCATCTCGTCCAGCTTCACCATTAGCACCAGGCGGTCCTATATACAGTAAATAAATGGAATAAAATTATTTGGTTTCAACAAAATATTCTAAATTTATATTTGATGAATGGTGAATGAAAGTACCTCTTAGTCCTGGCGGTCCTTGTTGCCCAGGTTTACCCTGGAATCCTTTCAAACCTCGTGGTCCAGTTCGTCCTCGAATACCTGCAGGTCCAATAAACCCAGGTCGACCTATTTGACAGAATTGAATGATTTGTATACAAAAACCATACCTCTTATATCAAACTGAATTTTGTTTGTAACTTTACTAGAAATGGTTCTTGACTAAGCTGTCAAACATGTACTAATACATTGCGCCTGAAAGTCATATAGATGGCGCTGGCAATCAAAAAACTCCCAACATATTAAAAAAACTCCGAATATTATTTTGTTTTGGGTTCTAACAAATATATTGTTTTTGTAATACATTTGTTGGAACCCAAAACAAAATAATATTCAAGTTCAAATAATGTTGATGTACCCAAATGGAATATTTTCAAATCAGAACATAATTATAAATAAACGTATGAACCCTTCATGATAACAGGCAAACTATATGTTCCAGACGAAACAAAAGGTTTTTTGAACTCAGTACTCGCACAAATAAAGAGAATCTATTTTTCTTACATTGCAAGTGCAGGAAAGATTTGTATAGAATCATTAGACATTATTATTTCTTTGAAACATATACGCGGTATAAATATATTTTTTCACATCTCAATATTTAATCACCAGCCTTTTTTCAATAAAAGTAGCTCACTTATATGCTATAGATTTTGATAAAAGTGCGTCTATGATACCTGATACTCCTCGCTCTCCTTTGTCTCCTGGATATCCGGGTGGGCAGAAACCACAATCATCACCGCGAAAACCTATAATAGAAACAAATATAGAATATGTGTTTTTTCCTCATTTTCTTTTATGAAAATGTATTTATTGTACCTTTGTCTCCTTTCGGTCCCGGAAATCCATCGAGTCCTGGCAATCCCGCCAATCCTCTTCGGCCTGGAAGTCCATCGTACCCAGGTGGACCTTTCATATGAAATTGTTATTTATTAGATACTCTGAGAAAAGAAATTTAGGGTTATGTTAAACTTTTTGTTCTGACATTTATTTCACAACATGAATTCAAAAAGTTTGTGGTGATTCTGGTACCAAAAATATTTCTAACTTTTTTTTCACTATAAAGTCAAAAAAACTTTGTGGTGCTCTAGCGGCAAAAATATATTTAGTACCGAAAATCACCACAATGTTTTCAAGTTCTTGTTGTGAAATAAGTGTCAAAACAAAAAGTTTAACATAACCCCAAATTTCTTTTCTCGGAGTATCAATACAAAGGAATAGAAACCTGGAACGACGCTACATTATATAGTCTATGAGTATGAAAAACTAAGCAATCATTTACCAGTTATATTGAATCCGATTCCCGGTAATCCTTTATCTCCAGTGAGGCCAGGTTCACCTCTATCTCCTGTAAAACCAATAACTCCTGGGCGGCCTGGTATGCCTGAGGCACCTGCATAAAACGAAAAAATAAGTAAGAATTAATAATAAGAGTTTTGATATGGACGTACGTTTTGATATATATATATATAATGATTATATAATATAATTTAGGCCCAAACCGAATGCTAAACTATAAAATTTGTAGGATACACTATAAAATTTTTTTTTTGTTTTTCTGAAAAATGAGTTTTCAATCGAAAAATGCGAATTTGGTACAATATATGCTCTTTTTGAGAAACTGACTGATTTCAACAAGAAACCTGCCAATATTATGGTATGAAAAGTTGACGAATGACGTCTCAGAGTCGCTCCAAGTCGAAAAACTGACATGTTGCAATAAAAAAATGGAGAAATAGAGCTCCATACTATTTCCCAAAAAAATCACGAAAAATCGATGAAATCATTGCGGTTTTCGGGTCACGTCGTCATTATTTGTCATAACTCATTCCGTGGGACCAAAATTTCCCAAAAAAATGCAGAAAAACAAAAAAAATGTTTTATAGTGTACCCTATAAATTTTATAGTGTAGTTTAAAATTGAAACTGTTATCAAATTGAAAAAATGAAGAAGTTATGTGTGGATATTGTTTAATTTAGTTGAATTTGGCGTAAATTTAAAGAATCTGACCAAATACTTCGGCTAAACACAGCATAAACACGTTTCAAATTTTATAGTGTCACTATAAATTTTATAGTTTAGCATTCGGTTTGGGCCTTATATTATAATCATATGATATCATAATTGAATCTGTAAGAATAATCTTGACCTGCCAAATTGAGTGAAAATAAATGTGAAACATAGAGTTTTTTTTATATGGACTTTACAACAACAACTCCATATAAAAAAAAACTCTATGTTTCACATTAATTTCTACTCAATTTGACAGGTCAAGATTATTCTTACCTATTCAATTATGATATACATTCAATTCAAACAATAAGGTACAAAAGTACCATTTCTTTATTTGCGTGATTTGTGTGTAGCAAAAAATGTGTTATACATAACGTAAAAACAACGAGCAACACCAACTAACTCTTTCAACAATCATCCATTTAAATCATATAAAAAGTGAAGGTTTACTAACGAACGTACCTTTTGGCCCTTGAATATTTTGTCCTGGGAATCCTTGCAATCCTTGTCTTCCAACGGGACCTATTCCAATAAAATCAAATTCAATAATATGTTCAAAGCACAAGTGTAATAATTATTTTCAATTAATTGGTCTACAGAACGAATGTATTGATTGCACTATAGTTTTACATTTTCGATATGTTATTAATATGTTAATAACCAAAATATCGGAAAATTTTTAATAACTCAAACATAACATAACATATTATTAAATTAATAAGATTCTACGATATTATTAAAATATTAATAAGAAAATCGGATTTTATTAACGATTTTTTATGGGCCAAATGTTGATTTTTTCTGCTGTGGGTATGGGGTATGAATATGGGTATATACGGATCTTATTAACATTAGTATTTTAATGCCGGTAAATCTATAGATTGCACTCAAAAGATTGAGTGTGGCCTAGAAGGCGCGAGTGTTCTTGAAATTTATTGTCGCGCTTTTCTTCGTTCTTTAATGGAAATTTTTACCTGGTATTCCAGCAGGGCCCATAGGTCCCATTGGTCCAGGTTCGCCTTGATCTCCTGGCTGCCCAGGTATGGTTAAACCTAATTGAAAACAAATATGCATATATAGTATAAAATATGTTGCGCATTAAGCGTTTGATAGCTGTACACTAGCGCAACACACTGAAGTAAACAAAACATACTAATCAAATGTAATCAAAGGTACTGAGTGTGTTTAATGATACAAAAACACAGTATTTCCGATGGTAACCATATTCATTGCAGAATGAATGCTTTAGTTGGTTTTCTTATTGTGATGCGCGCTGTGTGCCTATCATCAATGATTTGAATTCAAATGTCATACCTTTTCGACCGGGTAGTCCGTCTAGACCTGGATCGCCGGGGCTCCCAGCGAGTCCCATCGGACCTAGTAAATGTAAATCGTGTTTGTATAGTAACTTTTCAAATCTGGTCATCTCACGGAAAGTAAAAGCCTACTGTTTCCATAACAACCCATCAAAATACCTGACTATATTTCATTTTCAATAACAAGCTAGTTAAATAAATCTATTTTTATTTAGACGGAAACGTATCAATCATGCAAGCCTGTTTCGATACACAAAAAATTATCGATTCATTTCCAGTTGTAAACTGTTGAAAATTAGAATCATCCGGAAAGTAAATGGAAGTGATTTTTCAACGATGAATGGAACTTTTTTTATACAAAGTTTTGTTTGACAGTATCAATGGGTTAAAATATAAACAGTATTAGAATAAGTTGCAATGAATGTTTTATCTACCTGGTCGGCCTGGATGCCCTGGGATACCGGGAATTCCTAAAACCAGAAATAAATAGTCATTATTACAAAATTAAATTTAAAAAAACCTCCAGATTTAATTATAAAAAATTCTAATATCGGCAAACAATTTATTTTGTCCATTCAATCTTCAAACAGTTAAGAATGCAAAAATGAACATACCTCTGTCTCCAACTTCCCCAACATCGCCTTGTGGACCAATTGGGCCAACAGAAATTTCATCTAAACTCGGGTCATAAAGACCTGGTAATCCTGCGGCACCTGTTACATACAAAAATCATATTACATACATATAGTAAAATAGTAAATTATTCGCTTTCATTTCAATACATTTTCTGACAGTAATTTGATTAAATCAATAGACACAAATGTATGAATTTTTGACATATTTTATAAAGACGAATCTCCAGTGGGTGCTCGCTTTGTATGCCTCCAATGTAATTTTTCGTTGACGTTTGCAACAAGACGCCACCTCAAAAAAGCTCTATGGAACTAGCGGCGATAAACGAATGACTCAAATACGCTCGCAACAATGAACTTCACAGAGCGGCGAAAAATGCATAAGTGGCGAATGGGTAGAATTTTCAAAGAAAAATCGTCGATTCCAACACCCACCGCAATTCTATAAATGATAAATTCTAGGGGCTAACGGATTTTTTATTGACAAAATCTGTTTTTATCGCCCAATTTTAATGACATCCGTAAAAAATTGAAAAAATCTGTATATATTGAATTTTATCATTTAATATCGACTATAAATGTGCTGACGTCATTACCGATTCAAAAATGCTGGAAGTGGGTTTTGGTGGATCCCCGGGATCGTTTAGTACTGCTCCCGGTTCTGGAAGTGGATCCTCAGGATGGGCCAGGGCATTGTCAAACCCAGTCTGTTCCATCCTGAAGATCCACCAAAACCCACTTCCAGAATCGGGAGCAGTTCTGAACGATCCTGAGGATGCACCAAAACCCGCTTCTAGAACAGTATACTGTTCTATATATGCATTCGTTAAAGCGAAAAAATTACTGCAAAAATCGGGCAAAATCGACCAAAATGTGATCATATCGGAATTTATTTATTTAAATGATAAAAAATGTTAAAGTCGGTCATTATTGGTTACTTTTAAAACCGTGGTTAGCCCCTAGGATAAATTGCTACTTCTTCAAAGCAGCTCTTTGAATTTGTCTATTTCAAACCAAATAAATATAAATAAAACGTACCTTGAAGACCTGGAACTCCAGGATACCCGTCCTCGCCAACTTCGCCTTTTACGCCATCAGATCCATCTCGGCCAGCGTAACCAGGTGCACCTTTGGCTCCTTTCTCTCCGGGAGCACCTATTTTTGTATAATATGATTTTAAGTAGGAAATCAGAGTTGTACAAATATATTCGGTAAATTTAACACAATACCTTCTGTGCCATCTCTTCCAACTTTTCCACGGTCTCCGACGCTCCCTTCTTCGCCTTTATATCCTTTCAGTCCACGTTCACCTTTGGCCCCAGAATATCCCCAATTCCCACGTGGGCCATTGTCTCCCATCTCTCCTTTGTACCCTTTCTCGCCCTTTTCGCCTGTTTTGTTTCAAAAAATGTAGATATATATTTGAAATTTATGAAAGTGATCGTATTTCGCAAATCCTTCTAATACCTTGGCGCACAAGTCGTACATCCCATTTCGTTTCACTTAATCCACTGTCGCCCAGGTCTCCGCGAGGACCTTTTGGTCCTTTTATTCCGATGCTACGAAGTGGCTGCATTACAAATAAAGCGCAAAATTGAACAACGGAAGAAACAAGAACTATTAGGTTCGAAATTTATTTAAACCGATTGAAAATTTACCGGTTGTGAGTTTGCGTCGTCTCCTGGTGGACCCCGTTCTCCCATCTCTCCTTTGTATCCCTAAGATAAAATGGCAGCGAACAATGTGAAAAATGGAATTTTAATTTTTTCTATATTTTTTTATGATTTGATAATGATAAATTTTGATAATGATAAATTATGTAAACATTTCTACTAATATTTTATCGAAATTCGATTCAAATGCAATTCAGGGCTGAATTTTTGAAATCTTCAAAATCTACGATATTTTACCCATTAATGGAGCTAGATATTTTTTAGTAGTTAACGCTTTAGTGGCGATTGTGAAAATGTACAATTGTACATTTTAAAAATATATATTAAATGTATGAGTATATTACCAATGGACCAATGTTGCCCTCGAAACCCTTTAAACCTGGGGCACCAGCAAATCCTCTGTACCCTGGAATTCCCGGCTTGCCTGACTCGCCTCTTAAACCTTTAGAAATAAGAGAGAAGGATCAAAAACACATTTATAGTTTTTGTAATGAAATAAAAATGCACTTTAATTTTGAAACAAACATTAATACCTTTTGTGCCTTTTGAATTTATTCCACCCTCTCCTGGATCACCTCTCGGACCAGCTCTCCCGGCATCTCCAGGCAAACCACGCGGTCCTAGTTATTGGAAATAGTTCGAATTTAATATGAATCTTCTAGAGAATTTAGCTTTAATTTATGACTCTATTTGCTCTATTTGTCCTTCTTATTTTTCGTCTCCTAGCTTAACAAGCAATTTCCATATGAAATGCAATGCAATGCAATGCAATTGAATTGTGGGAATTAATTTTAATATTATTAAGCTGTTTTAAAGTGTAAAACTATGCATGCTAAAATTACATCTTTAACTGAATATTTTGACAGTCGAAAATCATTACGTTGTACTGCCAGTATATGATAGGCTCATTAAAAACTAGTATATGATAGGCTCATTAAAAACTGAATTACTTAATATATCCTGAAACGCTGTATATGCACTCCTAAATCTGTCATTTTAAAATTAGTGTATGATGAAAATAAACCGCTAAACAAGTGACATCTGACGGTCGTTTAGTGACGAATGTAACTAGAAAGTAGTGACATTTTTCGTTCGTTTATTGCCAGATGTAAATCAACTCGCGTATAAGTGTCATCGGCTACTAGTTTACATATTCCATATTTTGGTGTGTGTGAATATTATTCAGTGAATAATGAGAAGAGAAACTTACCCGGATAACCTGGATTTCCAGGGATACCAACAGCACCATCAGTTCCGTTGCAACCATCAATACCGAATGGGCCGCGAGGGCCTTCTTCACCGGGCAAACCTGTAACCCAAATAATGGTAGTATAGTAATTGTTTTCAGTACCGCAACAATTGGGACTTAGTCCAATTCTTGATTCACAAGTAAGTAAATTAACTTTACGTCATAATTTTTTATTTCAAAATATCGAGTTGTATGTCACTTTAGCACAATTAAAGATGATTCGTAAAAGTTGTAAATTAAAATGCTACACACAATATTGCTATTTAATGTGTAGGTTATTCATATGCGTGGGATTTTGTAACTGTTGATGGGTGGGATAATAACACAAAAACGGAGATATCCCGAAAAATTTTGAAACATCAATATAATTGAGAAAATCCGGAAATTGTATTCAAGCTACAAGGTGCTGTTTAATTCGAAAAAAGGATAATGGTAATTGAATACATCCGTATGCAAACCAATACATTTTTTGTTGATTATACTGCTTCTTTTTTTCCCCACTATGGACACCGCCATTGTTATGAAAATGTTGAGAAATGGATGCATTTAATGAAATGCCAATATCCGCGTAAGGCTATACTAAATAAATATGTTTTTAAAATTCATTCTATGTATATTATAAATAAACATTTTTTCTAAGGTGCGTGAATTTAGGCCACGATCAGAAAACCGCCGCGGTCAAAATTCATTTCATGAAATGAAATTAGGCCGCCGTGAATAAGGTAACCAACTTCTCCAAAGAAAAAATCCGTACATTTTTCGATTTGTACGGATTTTTGAACCGAAAAATCCGCACACGGACTAAAATCGTTGAAAATCCGTACAAATCCGTCAAAAATGTTTAAAAATTCGTACAAATCCGTTTAAAGTAGTACACGAAAAAATCCGTACTGTCCCGCGAAAATCCGTACGGTTGGTCACCTTAGCCATGAACCGGGCCATTTTTTTCATTTTTTTGCCATTTTTTTCATTTTTCGTTATAAATTTTTTTTACCCCGCTGGGGCCATAAAAGAGCCGGATCCATACGGAGCCATATCTGATTGCGGCCTAAATTCACGTGGCCATATTTCACTGAGCCGTATGCACCAAATTATCCATTAAACATACACCACAGGCCATAAGTTTGGATACCCCTATGAAACGTTTGTTTCTACGTTTTTTGAACATTTTCACTTGAAATTTAGTATTGGACATGAAAATATATCGAAATTCTGACCGAATGGATGATTTGGAAGATAAAATTTGGCCGGCCTATGGCCATCTTTTGGCCTTTGAGCTGTGGGAGCCAAAATCGAAGTCTTAAACGGGCCATCGGATTAAAAAGTTATATACGCCATTGGAAAGGTCTTGAAAAGTAGATGTGATTTGTGGTATTAAACATCAAAATCGGCCGGCGTTTGGCCAAGATATGGCCGTTTGTAATTTTTGGCCGAAATCTTCAATCAGCCATATCTTGGCCAAAAGCTGGCCGATTTTGATGTTTAATACCAAAAATGATACGTACTCTCCGAGACCTTTCCAACGACGCATAGCACGTTGAGATTGAACAAGCGGTTTGAAATTTAAAAATTTTGGGCCAAATTCATTCATAGGGGTATCCAAACTTATGGCCTGTGGTGTATATTCATTTATACCAATTTGATACGAATTTCAAAAACATATTTATTTAGTATGGCCTTACACCGATATTGGCATTTCACTAAACGCACTCATTTTTCAACATTTTTATAACAATGGCGGCATCCGTATTGTGAAAAAGAAGAAGCGGTCTCGTTCAAGCAATCGCGTACGGATGATTGAATCATGTATTTATCGCATATAACCTGGCATTCCGGGTGCTCCTCTATATCCGGGCTCCCCTTGTTCTCCCTAAAACATTGTGGAAACGTAATAGGTGTAAGTGTTTCTGTAGTACACCAAGTGTCTCTTGGGAATTACATACTCTGTATCCTTTTTCACCATGCGACCCAATTTCACCATAGTCTCCGACTTCACCGGGTCGGCCAGGTGGTCCATCATATCCAACTTCACCAGGGGCGCCTTCTTGCCCAGGTACGCCAGCAGGTCCTTGTGAACCCAAAGTGCCTTTGATTCCATCACATTTGCACGGTTCTTTATTACATTCCTAAAAGTATATTGAGTTCATTAATAAATAAGTCAAATTTTGTACAGATTTTCGGTGTAAACGGTTGCAAAAAAAATGTTGACTTTCTTTCTCAATGTACAAAACGCGTGAAACACTACGGAACACGCTGCACACGATCATACCGATATGATCGATGAAATAAGCACGTTGTGTTAATGTACGTAATAAATTCGTATTATTCCATGTAAATCGATTTACGCCACGCATAAAATTTAATATCATAATTTTGTTTTGAATGCTTTTTCTTTCGACATTTTCTTTTCGACTTCATTTCACGCGTATATGAAGAGCGTTACCAAAAGAAGAGCTGAACGTCTTCATAGTCGCCTGAAATATGAATAACCAACCGATTTTTTTTGTAGTTTTATGTGATTTTTGCCCTCTTATCATTCATACGTATATGCAGAGAACGGTACTGAGTGTAGTACATGTATATTGTACAGCGCAAAAGTTTTCACTCAACAGCAGTAAGTAGTATAGGATTGATTGACATACATTATACTATATTGTGTATATATGGGCGGTATAAATTGTAGATAAAGTTGCTCAAGTTGCTCGTTTATTGCTGTTGTTGCTCATTTCTAAAAATAAAGAACCTTCCGTTCTTAGAAATGTAATCACACCGGAAAATGTGTGCTCAGTCAGTCATCATTTAACGATTTCGAAAATTGATTATTTCCACTAACTTTGAGTGTGTACAAAAGACATCATAATTTAACTCTCAACATTAAACAGGATGGCTCAGTACACACTGCGTGTGTTTGTGTGTTTTTTTTTTGTATTTTTCTTCTGGAAAAATCTTTGTGGAATTTCACAATTCTATTTTTTGCATAAAACTATGTCCAAGAATTTGGTTTTGTTATATCACGCATTTATATTGGTTGCTTCCGGGAATATTGAAGGCGGTACAGATACAAACACATGATAATCTCACATAAATCTTTACTCGGCGATGTACAATAAGTGCATTTGTTATGCATTTTCATTATTCAAATACCAGAATAGTTGCCACAATTCATGTGAATCGCTTTGCGTATGCGCCACATATATTATCCAATTTACACGAAAGACTGAAACCATTGCTTTATGTGCAACAACATTATTTCTATTCTTCCAACTTTCATAAAGATTTGGTTTTTGCTTGCCGATCATGAATTGAAACAAATAGTTGGTAGATTTAAAATGTATACCACAAGCATATTTCTTGATTTCTAAACAACCTTTTTAGGTCACTTTATTTTGAAAAGGAAGCACAACACTGATAGCAGCACCAGCTCTCGGAAATGAACTGATTATACAACTAATTCCACAATTGGATCCCACAAACCACACTATTTTAAACATGTATTCTTTTTGTGTAATTAATCTTATGAAATGAAATTTGTTCAAATTTCATTTTTCCAATTAAATAAACTACATATTGATTGTTCATACTACTCCTTCGATTAATAATTTTGAATTTTATTTTAGCATCAGATTTTTTTTTTCATTTTGACCACTTTTGAACTGAACACGATTTAACGTATTTGAAGTATGACACTTGCACTACTTCGATAATGTATAGATAATCAATTGGAAGCTCGAATTTGAAATTGTATTGTGCGATATGTTTATTTGAAATATGTGTGCGAGAAAGTTCTCACCTTTGTGGCATTTCTACACTCCACAACACTAATAAATATAAAACAGATTACAAGTAGAGCCGTATGGTTTGTTTGAAAGAAATTATGCAGGCTTTTTTGGCCTGCTGTAGATTTCATTTTCACTGTTTTTGTGTACGCAATCGTGTTGTCATTTATCCAAAAAAAAAAATTGTTCACTACTCTAATCCTACAAGCCCTCGTAAAAGCGCCAAATTTATTCACAATTTAGGTTAAAGTATATCAAGTCCCACATTAAGCGTAAAAAATGCTAAGTCAATGATGGGATAAATCCACCAAGACTAAAGAAATAACCACTTCTCACTGATAGTATATGGTTGACCACTTTCTTTTTTTCTTCAGTAAACGACCAATTTTGTCGAGCGTTGAATCTGAACTGAATGTTTGGACTTCAACTAGAATCTCACGTACGATGTGATTATGCGGCGACGGCTAACCAACACAACGAAATCCAAATGATTAAACGGAGCTTTATCAGAATAAAAAAAGAGCATTTTTTAAGCGAATTAACGTGGAAATGAATGGCAAACAGCAAGAACAGATAAGAGAGCCGACGATTTTTGCGCCTTTTCCCCATTCCTCTTCCTGAATTGGGCCTGGTATAAGTGTAAAGCATTTGTGATATAAATGACCAGCGCTGTGCGAACCGGACGAAACGGATCGACAAACTTCCACTTGGAGACATTTGAATTACCGAAATAAGCAAATTATGCAATTAAAACCCGTTTTGCCCGGATGCAAGTTTGTAGGCAAACAATTCATTGATATTTATTTTAAACAAAATATATAATTTATTCTCACATTATCACACCCAACCCAGATTACGCCATTCGCTCTATGCTTCTCACTTATCACTCTATAATAAAATATTTGGCACAATAAATTTCATTGAAAAGAGAAAAACCGAGAAAGAGAGGGAGGAAAAAATGAAACCAAATTGAAATTCATTGATGAAATTAGGAAGTAAATCGGTTTGCGACTGCTTTCACATTGTCAAAGATTTATTAGTATGCATTATGACTTTGCCGGTTAAAATTGATTAAACGTAAGATCACAACCTTATGATCTAATTTTAAAATAGATTCAGTTAATTTTTGTATTTATTTGAGCTCATACGTACTATCTATTCTTCAACCTTGTTTTGCTATCAATTTGGTCCTAAACGAAAATATTTTTGAAATTTATGACCAAAAATAATATCGTTTCCATTGAAATTATATTGTAGGAATCTTGAAAACATCACGGAAATTGCAGTTCATGTTAATACATTCAGTTCACATCTGTAGTTGTTTGTTCGTTGACTGGCTAGTGGGATGATGAAATGTGATTGAATAATAGCATATGAGGTCGGTGATATATAATGCATAAATATTATTCAGAAAATATATAAAGGATATGCCATATGCCCCGCAAAACACTTGAAAATATTTAAAAAGGCTAGAACTGTCGTCACATTTTAGTTGAAAATGATCTCATAAGCGATACAGATTGCAAGCACTCGTGTGCCACACAGTGTCCAAATGAATGAAGTGAAACAAATACGAAGCATGTAATTTGCAAAAGTATGCACTTGGCAGATCGTATTCTGCAAGATAAATTAAGCGAATGTATCGTTTATTGTTGCATATTCTGATGAGACCATGCAAGCATTATATTTCACTCTCTTCTTTTGTATAAGAATGATGATTTTTTGGGTCATCTCATAAGAAAGAAGAATTATGTATATAGTAGCAACGGAGGCAATAGTAAAACAAGCTCATCTGCATCTAACTAACAATGTTGAGAATTATAAACATCGGCCGACTACAACACTAATGAAGTTCACTTTCATACTTTTTCGATGTTTGTCGAGATGCGAGTGAAAATGATTGCTACGAAAACAGTCAGTTGCAAGTCATAAATGCATGAGAGTGGATCGAATAAACAATTTAAATTGATTTCGCTTGAAACAAAAAAAAAAACTTTGGTGGCTTTCATGCGAATGCAAAAGAATAAATATGAGCGCCTTGTGTTGTGTACGAAATTCAAAACGTTTGCATTCCATACATTATAAATAGTGTAACAGGAAAAAAATAGCCAAGTAGCAAATTCAGCGGCGGTCACTTGAAGCATATTAATTTAAATACCGCCGTCAACATATGGTGAAATAATGTTCGAGCGCGTCTTAGCAACTTGATTGAAACAAAAAAGGAGGCTTGATAAATAAACGTTCAGTTCGGATTATAGAGCGTTTATAATACAGCAATCGACTGTTGAAAAAAATCGTTCTAATCAAGTGTTCCGAGTATTTATATGTGATATGTTCTTTTTTGTGCCTGCTGCGTCAAAAGCCAAGAGGTCAACACAAAGTTAATCCATTTTGATTCCAAACGTGTAGCTTACTGTTCTTGATATACTTCTGATGAGATTAAAATGCGGGTTTCTGTGTGCTATTTGGCACTTTTAGCAACTAAACGGCTTTTCTGTCGTTGATAATGGTCTTTTTTTATTTGGCACTTGGGCCAAATTTTGATAATGAATGTGACAAGGCTACAGGAAATGTTGTACAACTACCGCAATACGAACTCTCTGCTCTAACTATTTATGAAAATGGAAACTCTACACACACTCTCTGAAATATGATTTTTTTCAACCATTTTTTAAACCTTAATCAGCACAACATTTGAAACCATTTACACTGAATTTTTATTTTATGTAAACTTGAGCGGAAAACAGTAATGATTCTCCACGTTCTTCTTTTCTGCATTTTTTCCTTACCTTTGCATTTATAACGTCGAGTAACATCAAACCGAACACGATCCATGATATTAATCGAATCTCATTGAATTTAAACAATGTCTTTAGGCCCATTTGGCCTGCAGACGATCTCATTTTTGTTATTTCTTTGATCACTTAGAACATTTGAAAAATGCCCATCAATTCTTAAAAGTTTATTGTTTTATCCACGAAAATATGTTTCACAAAGCTGCACTGTAAAAAAACTCGAAAAAAAAATATTTTTTCAACGATGGGAAATAATGAATTCTATTTTTATTCTTTTAGAGATAGAAAATAAATTCCCCACAAGTTCTTTGTATAATAAATCGACCGATTCCGACGAAAACTGAAGAACAACTGATCGACTGGAATTGAATTCAAGATTCATATGCATTAACAATGCTGCTGGAATTTGCTAACGGCGAACCAACACAACCAAATTTGCTAAATTTGTATTCCTTTATCAAACGAATCGAAAAGGGAACATAAGTTTATAGTATGTTGATTAACGGAGCGCACATGCGGAGAAACGATGGAACGAAGCGAAAAATAAGTGACGAACGACGGGAAAGGCGTAAAGTCTAACTTTTCGCAAAGTTCTTTCTTTCGTCGTCGTTGTAGTCGTGGTTACTTGATCATCACAGTTTTATGTATTATGTATATACGTGATCTTCGCTGGTTCGCTGCTCCTGATAAAAATGACGTATTCTGCAGTCGAATCTGGTTGGTATAGAATATAAAGGAGATAAAGCAAAGCAAAATATATATATATGTATATGATGCTTCATGATCAGTCAGACGGAGACAAGTGTTTAACTGATTAAGTAACTGAAACTGAATCATTTGTAATTGCTATGAAGCCAGGCAAGTGTTTAAGTAATGTTGTACACTCTTACGATTATTAAAATTATTTATCGTCATTGACAGAAACAAAATACCAGTAGCCACAGAAGATATTTAGCAAAAGATAGCATGTCACTCATATATTTTCACTTGATGTGGAATTTCTTCCAACTTATCGACTCATTTTTTTCATTCACTTTTTCTTTCCTTTTAATAATATATTCTAAACGAAAAACAATTGACTAAAAGCTTACCTAAAATTCGCAGGTTTACCAAAACAGAACAAAATGCGAATCCAAGAATAAATTCCTCCCCATGAAAAAAGGATCCTTCCGATTCGCAATCAGAACCAAAACTAAAAACATGAAAACATTCTGGAATGCCATATGAATGGTAAATGCACCAAAATCTAATAATGTTGAAAAAGCAATAAAATGTGAAAATAGAAGCGACGTAACCGATGTTACGATGTTTCAACTTACAGATCCAATAAGAATATACTCGCATTCGTTCTGTCTACTATTTTCTGTTTATAGTATGCGCGCGCATCGACTCATTCGCTGCATATACATGCCGAATGAAAATAGAAACAGCTGAAAATGCACATTTAACATATACTTGGATGAATTCTACTATTCGTGTCTTCCCCACTGCACCAAGAGGTGCATTCAGAAGTCGGCAGACTAAACGTTGTTCTTATTCATTCCAGCAGTATTCGAAACCGATTGTAACAAAGGTATAAGTGACATTATTCCCAGGACGGACGGTGCAAACGGACGAATGCATTAATCCTCAACTGCATAAATTTTTCGTAGAGCTGGGAATTTTTTTTACTGGTTTATTTTGATGAATAATTAAAGGAAAAAATATTGGTTTTTCAGGAAAATGAAGAAAAGTGTGAAAATTGGAAAACTGTTGATGGCCAAGAGGCGGGCTCATGCGATTGAGATTTAAATAAAGCATTGTCATCGGACGAGCAGGCCAATGCGTTATTTCATGCATGAACGATTTTTCATTTTCACCTTATTTGAAACTCTGGTGTCCCCGGTTTCTATATGCCTAAATTGTAGCCCGGTGTGAGAACGAAATATTGACAAAATCGAAAACGTTCTGAGAAAATTTACACAGTTTGCCCCAAGTGAACAGCGGCGAATGGATACAATATCACCGATTATGACAAGTGACTTGAAGCTTTGAACATGATGTATGGCATTTCCAATCGTCGCGTTCATACGCGTGTGTATGCGAAAAATGGTACAAGCTTGTGCCACTTTGCGTTCCGATTTACGTTAGGATTGACGTATGCTTGTGTTTGAAAAATAAACAAAAATGATAACAAAAACCAAATGCAAAATAGTTTTAAAAAAATTGGAAAAAATATTTCCTGAAAGAGTACCTTTTTTACTTATATATATTTAGCCAAAGATGATTGTTAAATTTCCTTTGCTTGGTTGTGTCGTGACAGATGAACTGTCAAAATCATTACGTTTTGACAGCTTACTGATCGTTCGAAACGTTCAAAACGTTCAAATCGCTTATTGTTATCTATAAATATATATGATGGATAAATTTGAATTACTCAATTTTAAAATGATTTTAAAAAAGGAGCAAAATTATGAGGATAAGTTGCAAACATTATCTGACGCACTGTATATATAAATGCTGAATTTTACATCCATTTTGGCCAATAATCGATTTGTTTTCATATTATGTACCAGTTTTCCTTAAAAAGAAATGAAAAACCTATCTGAAATCAAAGCTAGCTCTAAAACAAAGCAATTTATAGCTGCACAGTTAATAATATATTATTAATAATTATTAATACTATATTATTAACTAGGCGGTATTAACAACTGATACGATATTAACATCGCCTGTTAATATCGCTATTACTTACTAGTTAATACCAGTTAATACCGGTATTATCATACTAATATATTATTAACATGCGATGTTAATACCGATAGTATGATCATACTATATTATTATGATTTTCATGATAATATTTTATTAACATCCATGTTAATAATTAAACTGCTCCCGGTTCTGGAAGTGGATCTTCAGGATGGGCCAGGGCATTGCCAAACCGGATCTGGTCCATCCTGTGGGTCCACCAAAACCCACTTCTAGAATCGGGAGCAGTTCTGAACGATCCTTGAGATCCACCAAAACCCACTTCCAGAACACAAGTTCAGTGTAAATGTACATTTATTTACACGAAATGTTAATAATTATTAACATGGATGTTAATAAAATATTATCATGAAAATCATAATAATATAGTATGATCATACCATCCGTATTAACAACTGATACGTTATTAACATCTCCTGTTGATATCGCTATTACTTACTAGTTAATACCAGTTAATACCGGTATTATCATACTAATATATTATTAACATGCGATGTTAATACCGATAGTATAATTAATAATATATTATTAACTGTGCAGCTATAAAGCAATTCAGTGACTTTTCTGTCGATTTGGACTTGATTCCGGCTAGATATGCCGCATGGTGTATCAAACGACGCCAACAGTACATACATTCATTTTGGCCTGCACCATGCTGAAAATATCAGCCCCAACTGAATCATTGTTGACAAATAAACGACTCAATCGCTTTGTTTTGAGGCTAGCTTCGATTTAATATAGGAACCCTGTGTGATTTCAAGAGAGAACCGGCCAAAAAGTGGAGGCCGAATTGAGTGAACTACCAGCGCGGAAAATATTCGAAATCTTGGCCCTTTTTGGTCGGTTCTACCTGAAAACCGGTCAGAGTGCCTATACAGAATCAAAGATGGATTCAAAATAAAGTAATTCAGTGACTTTTCTGTCGATTTGTACTTGATTCAGGCTATATATGCCGCATGGTGTATCAAACGACGCCAACAGTACATACATTCATTTTGGCCTGTACCATGCTGGAAATATCGGCCACAACTGAATCATTGTTGACAAATAAACGACTCAATCGCTTTGTTTTGAGGCTAACTTCGATTTTGGATAGGCTCTGAACGTCATTTTGTACGAGGAGCGATAATAATATGTGATGGAATTGCATAGATGCACAGCTGAACGTCTTGTGTATAAATAAATGCATAGCCTAATGGAAATATAACTTAAGAAAAAGAAAGTGTTCAAAACTAATGGAAATATTATGTCTATATTGACCACATAAAAATGGGGTGAATGTCATAGCTCCCTCTGTTCCGCGGAGTTCCGCGTCCGTGCGGAATCCGTGCAGGTTCCGTGCGGAGATGGAGGTCCGCGGAACAAATTGAGTTCCGTATCCGTACGGAACTCGACGGAACTTGACGGAACTTGACGGAACTTGACGAAACTTGACGGAACTTGACGGAACTTGACGGAACTTGACGGAACTTGACGGAACTCGACGTAAGTCGACGTAACCTAACGGAAATTTACGTAATAACTCACGATAGAGAAAGTACGTTACAAGTTTCTGTACGCTATGGATAATATTTTTCCCTCAGTATGGATAGTGTACATTAGGGCGGGTCGATTTTTTTTTCGACCAAATACCTATGATTTCCGTGTTCTATGGGTCATTCCAAGAAAATTTGCCCAAGGAACCATATCTCTATCGTTAAAATCGAGTCTGCAAGTTTTTTCCTGTAAGTATTTTGCGCACCTATGAAGTGTCAATTTCATTTTCACATCCATAATTCATAAACTATTGATCGAATCAAGTTGATTTGACAACCGTTGGAAAGCTGAGCTCATTCTGATCAATTTACATATAAAAATCATCGATATTTGTCATACGGTTCAAAAGTTATCAGCATTTTTCTAGATTTTTGGACGTTTTTTTTTACTTTTTTACTGATTTCGTCCAAAAACATTACGTTATCGGCCATTTTTGGGCTGAATCTAAATTTTAATTCAAAGTACAATTAAAAACGAAGATTAGCCCTAGGCTATGAACATTTTTTTCCCGAAAAACCCTCTCTTCTGCCCTGAATTCGCCTTTGAAAGTTAAAAAATCTCACCCCCAACATTTTCGATGCATTTTTCACCCCTTAAAACTCAAATGGGCAAATAGGTTATATCCCACGGAAGTTGCGCCTGATCCTATAGATTCCATTGGCACATAGTGTTGGCCCCCCATGTTGCCCCAGTTCGAAGGGCAGGGGTCAAAATGTGAAAAAAGTAGAAAACTACCCCAAAGTGGGTAAACCTCACCCCTCATCCCCAAAATAATTGCATTTTTGGATTCTTCGTCGAAAATTAGCTATACCTCCCAAACATTAGTTTTTGATAAAACCCCTCACTTTGGCCCAAATACATCTCTGAATGAACATTGGGAAAATTGATATTTTTCCATACAGTGATAATTGATAAGAGCTATCATGGCCCTTATCTCCTTACTGATGAAAGATAAGTGATAACTGTCTGCAGCAAAATTGTAGGTTCCAACGAGATCTAAAACTTTGCCGAATAAAGTTCTGCTCCATCGCATATGGGGTACGAGTTATGGGAGAAAAACCTACAAAACGCAAAAAATCCATATAAATGTATGGAAAAATATCAATTTTCCCAATGTTCATTGTAATGGTGGTTTTGGTTGTGATTTGGCTTCGGAGTGAAAATTAAGTGATAAGGAGCGCGAATTTCAATGTGCCGATAACACCATTGGATTGGGCAAAAAAAATACTGTATGAGAATCGAAAAAAAAATTTAAACTTTTTTTCCGATTTTTGCCTGTTTCGGATCGTCTACATGGGAAGTTTGTATGAAAACCTCGGAGCGCCGGTGTTTTATCCGTATTGTTATACACATCAACAAAGCAGTCTGCTTCACCGTAGAAAAGAAGTGCGCAGTAAGGAAACAAGAACGTACATGTTTTGGCAACGTGGCTTCACTAGTGATTATGAATGAACGTAATTTCTCATTACGATCATTCATATTCGCTAGTGAAGCCACGTTGCCGATACCTAACTGCAGATAACAGAAATTAGCGTACTATTGGTATTCTGTATTTTTAGATACACATGCTTGCACGGAAAATTATTCCGTACTCTTAACTTATTGTCTAAGTAACATATTACATGGTGCGAATGACAGTTGTTTCGTTTTCATTTTGATGACAACACTTAAAATCTGTTCATCTATAGTTTTTCCTTTTTATTGGCAAAATAAAACCTTACGAAGCCGATGGAAGTCTATTGAATAATGCAGGGCTCCGAAAGTACGTAGCATATTTATGTACGCTTCGAAATTTCAATGCAGCGTTGTTTCAATGGATTTTTTTAAAGTCCTATTTTCGTGTATGTTCGGTGTATTTTAGAGTATGTATACGAATGGTTGCGGAAAATTATTCCGTAATA